CCCACCACTGGTCTGGGATTAGGAAAGGGTGGTCCTCCAGCCCCTCTTCTGACATGCACCGGAGGTGGCGTTTGCCAGGTCATGGACTGGGCCACAGTCCGTGTGAAGCAGTTACTCCGAGGAGCTCATAGCCTGGCATCCTGAGGCCACTCTTGGCCAGCTCAACCCTCCAGGAGCAGGTGTGGGCACCACTGTCATGAAGTGAGTGTCTCCTTGCTAGAACTACGCAGGTAGGCAGGATTTACCTCAGACACTGACACTGAGATTCCTGGCCCTTTCCAGGTACCACCGACTCTTCTTTGGCTGTGACTCGGCAGCTGTCACAGCATCCCCTCACGGAGTGGCTCTCTTCTCCTTGCACAACCCTGTAAGGTAGGTAGAACAACACAGAGCCACTGTCCACCTAGTGTCCTGGGGAGTCTAGATGATTCCAGAGTGCAGGCAGCTGAACAGCCTTTGTGGATTAAAAGTTTTTCCCTTTGTGGCCATACTGTTTATTCAATACCTCATCTGCTCCTCACCAAGGGAAAGGCAGGTGAGGGCAGTCCTGAGGGCAGGGATGAGGCAGGCTGAGCGCCCTGATGCTCTCACCCTGGCTTTGCTTCTTGCTTGCTGTGCTCAAGCCTTCTGGGAGCTCTGTCGTGGGGTGGGTTCCTTGAGGAGGTGAGGTAGGGACTCTCCCTGCAGGTTGTGGAGAGGTGCAAAAAGTTGGGTCGTGGCCACCAAGTCCCCTGCTTGTTGGCCTTAGGAGGCACCTGAGGAGTGAGTCATGCGAGGGTGGATGAGTCATCCCCACCTGGCTGGCCAGGTGGGCGGGCCCACCTATCAGGTTCCCAGGTGAGCCTGAGGTGCAGTGCACTGGGAGGCTGCTCGGAATGCAGAGTGCTGGGCTACAAGCCAGGAGACCCAGATTCCCTCACAAGGGGGTCCTGGGCTTTTCCTCCTGCAGGGCGGCACATTCGGTCCCCTCCTTGTCTGACAAGGTGGTGGTGGGGATCAGACAGGCCTGCAGATGCCTTTGTGAGCTGAAAAGCCATGAGGGTCACTGTGAGAGAGTTTCAACCTGAACACAAGAGAACTTCCAATTGTGTGAGGAGAAAGGAAAGTGCCCTCCAGCCCATGGCATCTATGGCCAGCCCATGACGTCACCGTTGCTTGCCGAAAGAAGCAGGAAGCGAGTGCCCGTATTTCCCAGTGCTCCACTGCACCCAGCTGCCAGGCAGTGACAGGAGCTGACCATGGCTCTGTCCCTCTTAAAGTCTAGATGAGAGGGCCATTGGTGGTCATCAAGGTACTTAGTCCTTGGAGCCAGGGGTTTCTAGAAGGTTCTCTAGGCCCAGAGGCCTGGCCTTGCCTCAGCTGCCACTGAAGGATCACACCAGCCTTCTGGGGTGTCCAGAGGCTGGGGTGTCCCTTTCTGTGAATGCTTTTGCGAGCCATGTCACAAGGCCCTTGCATTCTGCCTGCCTGCCCAACTTGGGAAACCACCACAGGGCCACAGCCAGACCTGCTCGGGCCTGGCTGAATGCCTCAGGGGCCTGCCTGTTCACCCTTGCAGCTCCTTCATCCCCTGGACTGCACCTGCCTCACGCTCACCTCCATGAGCTTGGGTGTAAGCAGGTAAGGAGGGTGACTTGGTGCCCTCCTCTCAGATCCTCAGATGTCCTTGTCCCAAGTCTCTGGCACATTGATTTCTTCTTCTCCATCTGGAACGTTCTCTCCCTTGCCACTGGAAGGCTGAACCATCAGTTTCCCAAGCTGCCCCACCCAACCCTTTCTGACTATGCACAGGGCTTTGTTTTTCTGACTTAAATGTTCAGCGGATTTATTCTGGAATCCATTCATTCACAGAATCATGTGACAGATGTCTAGGCTTGGAGCTGGGGGTTGGAGAAGGAGCAAAGAATAAAACCTTTCCATACCTCCTGGATCTTGTGAAGATGGTTATGCCTGCCATGGCTTTGTTTCTCTTCACCTGAGGAGGATCTGATGGGTTAAGGGAACAGCTGGGAGGGAGGCGATTCTCTGGGCAGGGCAGAGAAGCCCGAGTGCTGGATGGCAGGGTAAGCTAGGAAGGGAGAGCATCCCTCAGAGGGAGGGGGATGGCCAGGCAAGGGACCAGGAGCTTCCAGGCCACGCTGCCCTCAACCGTGGATTTTATTCCAGGCTACTGGAGACTGTTAGGAGCTTCCCAGCGGGAGACTTGGAGAACTTCATTAGTGGAACCATGATACACACGCACACACGCACGCACATCTTAAGACCCTGCATGGTGTTGTTTCAGGGTTTTTCTCACTGAAGTGCCCTGATGCTTCCTGGGAGACCTGATATTGAGAAGTCCTGGGAAATGTGCACTTGCCCCGGATTCTTTTGGCTCTTTGCCGCCACCTACCCCCCACCCATGCCCGTTTCCCAGCCAACCCTTGCTGACTCTTGCACTGGAATGGGTGGTGAACTGTGCCATCCTGCAAGAGGAGAGCCACTGTAATCCCTGAGGGGACAATGGTGGCCGATACCCAGACACTTTCCCAAACGCCCATGGGACCAGTCCGCTTTTCCTGCCCATGAGATGAACGCTGGGCTGAGATGGGGAGTTGAGTGTTCCAGGCAAGAGGATTATGTGAAAAGGGCTGATCACCTGGAGGAGCCCTGTGTCCCTGCGGACAAGTGAGTCATGTCTGGAGACTGAGGTGAGAGCGGCAGGAGGTGGCAGGGCTGTCTGGAGAGATCTGGAATGCTGTCGAGAAGAGGAGTGACTTGATTGACGGGATTTCAGAGCAGTCGATTGGTGGCAGGCAAAGAGGAGGGCGGGTCAGAGAGGGCAGTGCTGGAATCCCATAGGAGAGAACGTGTGTTACCAGTGAAGAACTGCCCCTTCACTACCCAGACAGACACACAGGAATAACCTGCCCGTCTCTGCATTCTTTGCTCTTGTCCGGTTCTGTTCCCACTGTCCAGTAGGCTGACTTGAGTCAGACCACTGCAGCCCTGGACTCCAGGAGTAAGAGAGTCTGAGCCAGGATCTCTCCGACTCTCCAGTCCCTCTCAGCCTCGTTTTCTGCATCCATGCAGTAGGGCTTGGATGGTGACGGGAGTGAACTGGGGAGGAAAGTCTGTAGCACAGGCGTGTACATGGGATGGCTGGGGAGCCTTTACTGTAAGGTTAGGGCCCTGGCCAGGTCACAAGCTGCCCCGTGGGGAATCCTCCTTGTCTGCAGTCTGAACCAGAAACACGATGTTCCCAGCAGGGTTTGGGGGGTGTGACCGGTTAGGACTTGTTTGCCTCTTCATCCTCTGCCCTCAGCACTTGGGATGGTGAGGTTCTCAAAAATCCTAGACAACAACAACAACAACAATAAAATTTAATTTGAAATGTGCCCCAAGGGCCGTGGATGTAGCTCAGGCAATAGAGGGCCTGCCTGGGATCGGCCCCAGCACTGAAATAATGATAAAATACAACTTCCAAGTTGATTGGGGCAGGACACGATAAAACAGATGTTTGAGAGGCAGAGGCTGTCACAGACAGATCAAGAGCATCCAGGCTGGAAGGGCCCAAGGGCATATACTGACCTCCCCAGTTCACATTTCGGGAAACTGAGTCCCAGACAGAAGCAGTGGAAGGAGGAAGCAGAAAAAGGAGCCTAGGCGCAGGTCCAGTATCCCCACTAGGCAGGTGGGGCTCTTTGCTCGAATCCTCTTCCTCCGAGGAGCGTGAACACTGGCTTCCTGGAGAAGTTTTAGTTAACTGTGTGAGCGAGAAGAGCCATTTCTGGGTCCATTTGTGCTCTGGTGCCTGTGGAGCTGGGCCTGGCACAGCGAGCCCGCCCAAGCCACAGGGTCTGTTTATAGGCTCTTGTGATTAGCCCGGCCTGTGTCAAGAGGCCTTATCCCTCTGCCCTGCCCAGCTGTGGATGAGGAAAAAGCCCTTGGGGGAATGGTGAGTAGCGAGGGCCTCTCTGAAGCCTGTTCAGGCAAGGCCAGTTTAGCTACCAGTTAGGCTCTCTGCCTGGTCTGATGCCCTCTTCTGGCCTCCAAGGGCACTACATGCACATGGTGCAGAGCCATACATGCGGGCAGAACACCCATAAACATAAAAGTAATTAAATCTTTAAAAAATAAGACAAGATGCATTTATTTTCATTTTATATGTTTGTCTACATCTCTTTAGCACTGTATGTGTTCCTGGTGCTAAGGAGACCAGAGGAGGGCATTGGATCTCCTGCAACTGGAGTTAGGGATGTTTGTGAGCTGCCATGAAGTGCTGGGAGCCCAACCCAGGTCCCCTAACAGTCCTCCTAACCGCTGCACCATCCCTTCCCCCACAGCGCCCCCCCCCCCCCCCCCCCCCCCCCCCCCCCCCCCGCTCACGTAGGTGCTTTTAAAGAAGCAAGGGAGAAGTAACAGGCTTCAAAATCTAGCCCTGGATTTAAACTCTGGTCTGCATTTCCTGACTGTGCAGTCTTCAGCTGGAGCTCTCTGAGCCTCAGTTTTCCCATCTATAAAATTGGATGATGCCACCCATAAGCTTTAGTGAGGGTTCAGGAAAATGGTGCTTATGAAGTTCCTCTCACGGGGCTGAGGAGATGGTTTAATAGGTGGAGTGTTGGCCTTATGTGCCTGTTGGGTCCCTCGCACCTACATAACCACAGGGAAGGGAAGGCAGAGACAGGAGGATCCCCAAGGGCTTGCTGTCTAGACTGACTGAGCCAATGTGAGCTCCAGGTTCAAGGAGAAAACATGCCCCCCAAATATGGTGGAGAATGATTGAGGAAGACAGCTGACCTTGATCTCTAGCCTCTACATGTATGAGAACACACATCTCCGTGCGCACACACACACACACACATACACACGCACGCACATACGCACATATATCTGCACACACACATATGTACACACATCTGCACACACATCTGTACACACATATATACACACATCTGCACGCACACACACAGTCTGCACACACACACACACACACAGAGCTCTTGTCATGATGCCTGTTGAATATGGAGCTTCTGTATGCAGAAGGAGGTTTTATTTGCAGGTGAGGACACTGAGGCTCCTTGTACAGTGCACTGCACACATCAGTGGCTAAGAGCAGTCAGGTTTGGGGAGCCCTGGCCTCCCACACCGCCCTGACCTCTCTCTCCTCCTCCCAGCCCACTGGGCCTATCCTGTTCCCAAGATCCGGGGAGCTCTGTGTTAGGGATTGTTTTTCTTAAGAAGTTCCTTCTGTGGTGCCACAGGATGACTCAGAGTCTGAGTCACAGCTGATGGCAGGGGAGGCCCGCCCTGGGAGGGAAAGGAGAGAAGAAAACAGGAAAGGGACCAGTTAGTTCAGCTGTCCTGCTGTTTGATCAACCAGACCCGACAGACCCCCTCTCCTGCTTAGCCTCAGTTTCCCCAACTGTGGTTTTGCCATGTGGTTCCCATTGGTAGCTGACCCTTAGAATTGAGTTCCAGGACCCCGCCCAGATCTACACATTCCAAGGCTGGGGCTGTGCCTGGGAGTTTGTGCTCTTTCTAAACTCTCCCAATGACTCTGCTTGCCCACCTCGGTGTGCATGATATGTTGACGGCCTCTCTCTGCTGTCAGTGGCTCTGGGCTACTACTCTCTTCAGCATCAGGTAGTTGACAATGGAAATCTCACTTCCTCAGCTAAACGAAGGACCTTTGTTTCCACAATGTTCCTGGAATATAATTCACATAACGAATTAAATTCACAGTATATATATATATATATATATATATATATATATATATATATATATATATATATATATAATCCTCCATTTCATGAACTGGGATTCTTAGTGAATTTGGGGGTTTGCAACCATTTCCACAACCATGCTTGAGAGACTTTTCTCTCCCTCTCTCCTCATCTCTCCCTCCCTCCTTCCTTTCCTTCCTTTCTTTTTTTTTGAGACAGGGTTTCTCTGTGTAGCTTTGTGCCTTTCCTGGAGCTCACTCTGTAGCCCAGGCTGGTCTCGAACTCGCAGAGATCCGCCTGCCTCTGCCTCCCGAGTGCTGGGGTTAATGGCATGCACTACCACAGCTAGCAAGAACATTTCATTACTCCAGAATGATCCTTGTGCTCCCTGCTTGCAGTCTCTCCTCCACTGCCCACAGCTAATCAGTGTCTGTTTCTAGCCCCACCACCCCCTTATCAGCATCCCCCACTTTCTGGCCCTGTGCAAATTGTTTTCCTGCTCTGAACCTCGGGTTTCTTCCCAGTATGAGAAGACATCACTGTATCCTCTTGCAGCCTGTTAGGATAAGTCCAGCGTGCAGTGTCTCCTGCACAGCAGACCAGGGCACATGGGCCCTGGTGCACAGCACACAGACTCAGGCAACATTTCAAAGCACTTACCCAGCATGTCAAGCGCTGAGATGCACAGCAGTGTGTTATCTACTTTAATCTACACAACCCTGCCAGAGAAACGTGACTGTCACAGCCAAAGAAGGCAAGGCACTGGCTGACAGGACGAGTTGCTTTGGCAAGGTCACGTGGTGACAGAGGCTGGGGATGGGTCCTTAACTATAACGTTGTATTGCCCCTGCTCTTTAGGCTGTGAATGCCCCTGGGGTGAGGACCACCGTTTATAGGTCCAAAGCAAGGATGTGGTGTGTGTGTGTGTGTGTGTGTGTACCGAGACCCGGTGTGTCAGTGAGTGAATCATGAAGGCAAGAGTGATGTAAATTAAGCTACAAAGTAGACCCTGGGCACAGGTCTAAGGAACACAAGGCCTGGTGTGTGACGCAGTCACGTGGTGTGTGTGTGTGACTGTGGGCGTGGACATGGTCCGAAGAGCTTGGTACTTCAGCTCTGGCAGTTATGGGTCCCTAGGCCCCGGTAGGCCCCATCATGGTAGGACCTGGGGCCCAGCAAGCAGGCAGGAGCCTTTTCCCTTCCTCACAAAGGCCTGCCTGTTCCCTTCTCCTGTTTCTGGATGCCAAAGAGAAGGCAAGTTACAGAGGAGTACTGGGGCTCCAAGTACACTCACTATTCCTTTAGCTCATATAGGGGTCAAGGCATGGGACCAAGTCCATGGTTCAGGAAGAGCCTGCCAGGCCCCCAGCTCCCCTCGCTCCAAGCCAGCCTCCCCCCCAAGCCTCCCCAGCACTGGCTGGGGCCAGTACCAGTGATTTTCCTCTCCCATCCTCCTCCGTACTGGCTTCCTAGCTGCATTGTTGGCTTGACAGAGACTGCCTCTAGGCCTCTGGGCCTCTGGGGAGAGAGCTGCCTGGCTGTTGGGGCCGAGAGTAGATTGCTAACAGCTGCTGTGGGCGGTGCAGCGGAGGAGGCTGTGGGTTGTAGGCAGCAGCTCTTGAGCCCTCTTGGTACCTGAAACTCACCATTTTATTGTTTCTTCTGAACAAGAGTGGCAGGCCCAATCTCACACATAGCTACTTCCCCAGGTTCCTGGGGGCAGGGAGCTGAGGTCACACACGGGCTAGGTTAGACGGCAGAGGGTGTTCTGGTGGGCAGTGAGCTACCACGCTTAAGGCACGTGGGCACCGGAGCTTAGAGCCCAAGAGTCCTGTCGGTCTGAAAGACCCTGGAGCAGTGGCTGCCACGGGCCTATTCAGTTCACAAAGATCTTGTGAATCTTTTCTCTGCTCCTCGCTAGCCCCTGGCCTTCATCTCTCCTTTGGAGTTTTTCCAGATTTTTTTTTTATTTAATTAACAGTAGATGTAGCAAATCTGTGACATAAGTCTGACCATTCTGTGTCCAAGGGCAGTGAAGTTCAGAGTGAGTTTCTCGTCACACTCAGCTTGTGAGTGTTGGAGTCCGTGTTCTTTTGAGTGGACAGAGCAAGCCAACTTCATAGAGGATAGAGATTCTCGAGGTAGACAGGAAGGCCTGGCTCTTCAGGTGAAGGCCAAGGCCCTTCCAGAGAGTCACCGACCCTGGACTAGCCACCACCCTGTCTCTGGCCTTGGTTGGAACCCTTCAGCTGTCCTTTGCTTTGACTTTGAAAACTAAGTGAGGTCAAAGGCAGGTATGGAGCAAGTGAGCGGCAGGTGTGTAAAGGCTGGCAGATGCCGAGGGGCCATCTTTGGATGTCACAGTTGCTAGACACCAGCTGAGTAGTGCACTGAGAGCCAGGTCGTCTTCTGTCCTACCAGACATCAGCAAGGTGGCCTCGCCACTCCATTTTACAGAAAGTGAAATCGGATCATTGTGGAAAGAGAGCACTTGCTCTGTCCTCCCCTGAGCTCTTCACACCCCTCCCTGAACATGGCCTGTCCTCCTGCTGCTTCCCCATGCCTGCCCCTTTGTCCTCTCTGGGACCTCTGCCTGCAGGCTGCCATGGGTCATTCAGGCCATCAGCTCTCATGCAGTGGCCAGAGCCCAACACAGACGAAACTGTGGTGGTGATTAGCTGTGGAGGGTGTGGGCACAGAAGGGCTTCATATGGAGGGAGCCCTTAGCAGGAGGATGCGGCACCATCCCGCCCCCATCACCATAGCTCATGAAGGTTGCCTGGGGAACCCAGCTGTTGGATCCTGGTGAAGAATGAACTTAGTCTCCAGGTCAGCTTGACCAGATGCAGTACTCACCCTTTTTTCTTTCTTATCTGTGTCCCAAGGCCTAAACCGTCCGGGCTGGACACTCCTGTAACATGAGTCCTCTTGACTGGATCCCCACAGGACAGCTCACTGTCTCTCAGAAAAAGACGAGCGGATGAGCAGATGTTCCCCGTTGTTTTTATTGTGGCAAAGTTGACATAACATGAAACTTAGCATCGAGAACATTTTAAACACATGGTTCCATGGTGTTAATACATCATATGTCTTGCACTGGTCACCACTGCCCATCCCCAGAACTTCCCATCATGCAGAACTTTTTAAACCCAAAGGGGTGAGGAGAAAGACCACTGCCCCAAATCATCATGGCCAAGTTAATTAAAGAAGCAAGCTTTTTTATTCATGTACATGAGCTACCTCTCTCTAAAAACGGGGTTCAAGAGATCAGCACTGGACATGAGGAAGACAAAGTGTTTATAGCCTAGAGTTAGGGAGTTTGCAAACGGGGTGGGGGCAGTGGTGTTGGGGGGGGAGGAAATCTGGAGGGCAAAATTCGGCAGGGTTACAGGAGCATAACAAGTTTGTTGTTGGTTGTTTTTTGGCTCTTTTGTGGGGGGCCCACCACTCAGCTCCCAAATAATTCACACACATGGAGTTTTATTCTTAGTTATGAATTCCCAGCCTTAGCTTGACTTGTTTCTTGCCAGCTTTTCTTAAATTATCCCGTCTACTTTTTGCCTCTAGACTTTTCCCATTCTCTTACTTCCATAAATCTTACTCGTACTCCTACTCCATGGCTGGCTGTGTGGCTGTGTGGCTGTGTGGCTGTGTGGCTGTGTGGCTGTGTGGCTGTGTGGCTGTGTGGCTGTGTGGCTGGGTGGCTGGGTGGCTGGGTGGCTGGGTGGCTGCTCCTTGGAGTCCTCCTCCTCCTTCTCTTGTTCCTTCTTCTTCCTCCCTTCTATTTTTCCTTCTATTTATTCTCTCTGCCTGCCAGCCCTGCCTATCCTTTCTCCTGCCTTGCTATTGACTGTTCAGTGCTTTATTAGACCATCAGGTGTTTTAGACAGACACAGTAACACAGCTTCACAGAGTTAAACAGATGAAACATAGACAAAAGCAACACACCTTAAAATCATGTTCTACAACACAAGTTAGTCATAACATCTGAAACAAAGACATGATTGCAAGGTGGTCCTAACAAGGTAGCCATAACAGCAGGTAGTCTTAACAACCTTTTGAAACAAAGGTAGGTTTGCAAGATGGTTACAACTTTTGAAACAAAAACATGGTTGCCATTCCTGGAACAGGCAGTACAGAACAATTTGTAGTTATAAGGTTACAGGTGGGGCATAGCCCAATCCTTGAGAAACAGATTTAATCATAAACAGGAATGGACCTAGTTTATCTTTACTGTAAGATGGCTTTAACGCCCAAGATGGAGGCAGGCTGGTTCATCAAACTGAAGCTCTGTCCTCTTTGGACAATAGCCTACGTTTCCCTTCCACTTACAACTATCACTTTACTGTATGTTCCTACACATCTGATGCTCCTCAGAACTTCAGGGAAGTAGACTCACAGTATTTGCTGTTTTGTGACTGGCATGGTGTCCTTGAGGTTCATCTATAGCAGAGTGTGATCTTTTTAAACTGTTCCTCCGTTTGAATGTGTTTGTTGATTGTGTACTCATTTATTAATGAACAGCTGGCTTGCTTCCCTGTTGTAACTGTTGTGGGCAGTACTGCTATGAACATGGACATGCAGATGTCTCTTAGACAGCTCGCTTTTATAAACCAGTATATATTTAAACATTTATTTTATTATGAAAAACACTGTCTGCCTGTCTGCCTGCCTGCCCCCCCCCCTCTCTCTCTCTCTCACACACACACACACACACACACACACACACACACACATTTTGTTTGTTTTGAAATCCGGTCTTGCTAGCTAGCCCTGGGTGAGCTTATTATGCAACTTATTATGCAAACCGGGCTGACCTCAAAGTTGCTTCTCTCTTCAGAGCACTGGCGTTACAGGTACACACCATCACACTCGGCAGGGAAAGGCCTTTTGGCCTCTAATTTACACACAAGAAGATTAGAGAGACAGAAACTCAGCCAAGCAGCTGACCCAGCAAAAATCGCAGCTTTCTCTTTACAGGTCTCACCTGCATCAGGCTATGCTGAGCCTTGGTGTATTTCACCTGGTTACAGTTCTTAATGGTTTACTCTTTTTCATTTTTAAGGGGTGTGTGTGTGTGTGTGTGTGTGTGTGTGTGTGTGTGTGTTTTATGTAAGTGCAGGTAACTGTGCAGGCCAGAAGAGGGCGTCAGATCCTCTAGGGCAGGAGTTACAGGTGGTTGTGAGTCATCTGATATGGGTGCTGGAAACCAAACTGAGGTCCTCTGCAAGGGCAGCTGTTCCCTTATTAAATTCTTGCACCCTTCATGGGAAGAAGATATTGCAATTCCTACCTACAGATAGGGAAACTGAGGCTCTGGCGCCAAGGTGACTTGCTCAGAGCTGTCAGCTAGTTGAGGGGTAGACCTTATTCCCCCACTTTGCTGGTCACTTGGCCACGTCTTTCCTCTGAAGAGCTGCCTGCAGCAGCGTTTCTGCCCCTTCCTGCTCTGGCGGGGGCATCGCAGACCCTGCCTTCTGTCTGCACCCCACCCAATCTCCTGCTGACCCTTGCCCCAGTCACCAAGCCTGTGCTTAGGCCCCTTCATCCTGCCATTAACCTATGTTTGTGTCTGGGCTCCTCAGGGGTTGCTACACAGTTCTAGGGTGGGGGGCAGGATGAGGGGCTAGGGCTCAGTTCTCAGCAATCCCAAGTTTCCCAGGGCTAGAGTGTCTGCCTCAGGGGAGGAAAGACTGATGCTACTCATGCATGGCCAAATCTTGTTGCTTCCAGGGCACAGAGCCAGGAGGTGGTAGGGCCAGGCCTCCTCAGAATGTCCTCACAACACTAGGTGGGGCTGGCTCTGGGAGCTGGGAGAGGGTCAGTGGCTTCAGTCCCTGAGATAGATTCAACCAAGACCCACTGGCCATATTCCCAATAGCTGTCCACACCCAGAATAGACTTGGCCAGGGCAGAAGCCCAGTTGGCCATGTCAGGGAACCCTGCTCCATGAGACCCAGGCCTTGACTCTGGCCTGGTTGCCCACAGACCTGAGTTCTAAGTCTAGGCTGTGGACACTGGCTCATTGGCCTGGAGACATCACTTTTTTCTGCTTGGTGTTATCTACAAAGAGATGGAAGGCCAGTGGCCATTACTACTGGCAGTCCTTCGGCTTACTCCCATAGTTCTACAGGTGGGTGTTACTGTCCCTATTTACAAATGAGTGCCTGGAGGCCCAGAAAGGAAAATAACCCACTCTAGACTGCACAGCCCAACCTGAGCCCAAGTCCCATTTGAATCTGTAGTCTCACCCCTGCTGCTCCAGGCTGCTGCCATTCGGTAGGTGTGAATGCGCTGGGCTCAGGCCTCTGAGAGAAGAAGCGGGCCATCCAGGGACCCTTTGGGAGATGCTGTGTGTCAGGCCTTGGAGTCCTCTGCTGTTCCAGGAGACTGCCACTTTAAACTCCGTTCCATTTTAAAAATGAGGAAACTGAGGCCTTGACTGCAGGTGTCTTCAAGTCTGTGGGGGCCAGCCGGAACGTGTGTGGGTCCTGTCTGGTCTCACTGGGTTTCATAACTGCCTTCTCTGTTTACTGATCATTGTCCCTCCTGGCAAAATCCTAGGCCAGAAGGGTGGGTGCTCCCAGGGGGACCAGAGCACTGCAATGGGCCAAAAGCAAACAGGCTCTGGGAGGGAAAGAGGGAGCTCTTCCAGTGCTGGCCAGCTGCCTGGGGGATGAAGAGCGGCAGTGTTTGGCGTGAGGGAACAGAACAGGGAGGTGTCTTCCCAGCCCGCCAAGGCCTTTTGTACACTGTGGCCAAGGGCGAGGGTGAGACATCTCATCTGGTAGTCACCCTAGGCAGCCCACAGAGATCTAGAGATTGACTTTAAGTTAGTCATAGGGAGAAGAACGGGTCAAGAGATGGTTATGGGGGCCTAGATCCAACCACAGGGAGGGAGGGGTCCACAGAGGGACATGAGCTATGATGCCACTCGGTCCTGTGGCACATACTGAGAGGATGCCTGATGTGTAGGAGGACTGGGCAGAACTCACAAACAGCCAAGATGGGCAATCAAGGCAGTCCCTAAGGCACAGTAAAGAGCAGGGTTACATTCAAGTCAGAGCAACCATCCCAGACCTGAGTAAATGGAGGTACTGCGGTCTTTCTCCACACGGTGGCCATGGTCTGGGGTCTTTTTAGACATATGGTTTTCCTGGGTGACGACATCAGGCATCTGGAGGGCTCGAGGGCTTTTCTGGAACCTTCTCTTGCCCCAGCCTAGGAGATGTGGTAGTGCCAGCTACTCTAGAGACTTCTGTCTGCCTGCCTGGCGTGGGCTTGGACTGGTTTAGCAACAGCAACCCATTTCTTGCACAGGGTTGATGCTCCCTGCTGAGGTGGGGCTAGGGCTCCTGCTTCCTCTCCCAGACAGAACTGGAGCCCAGGAGCCCCAGATGAGGGTTTGAACCTCAGCAATGCCTCCTTCCACATGAGCGGCCTGAGTCTCGGTTTCTCTGTCATCGGTGCGTCTTCCTTTCCTTGGCACTTGTACCCACTTGCTCCCCTGAATTCCTACAGCAGGGAACAGAGTAAGGCAGGGTTACCCCATCCGAGTCTCCCGCCCTGTGCTCCTTAGTGAGGGGTTTCAGGCTTTGAGGTCCTGTATGGCAGTGGCCAGGGCTTGACTACTCACTGGATCCCGAAGTGAGCTGACATGCTATTACTGATTTCAGAGCCTCCTTCTTACATCAGGGGTCCTAGGTGGTCTGATTCAGAAGGACCTGTCAAAGTGACCTGGTCCGGTGTCCCCATTTTGCAGATGGGAACTTTGAAGCTCAGAAGCAAGATGAAGTTCTGGGAAGGATGGTGCAGCCAGGATCTGGGGATGCTGGGGCCAGAAATGGACCTTAGAGGAGACCAGTCATCCAGGTGGTCTATGGCAGAGCCTCCCGAACACTGGTGCATCCCCTTCACCTTCACTTCAACCCCCTTGTTCCCTTGAACTCACGCCTCTTCCGGGCAGGGCATAGATTAGAGAGTTGCCCCTTCCAGTCTCCATTCGCTGATGCCCTTGAGTGAGGGTTTCTAGGCTCCAGGGTCCCAGAGGGCAGAGGCTGGGCCTTGGTCACTGTGGCCCAAACTCCATAGCCACATAGCCAGCAAAGCTACACCACCTTTGTGATCATTAACCTGGGGCCAGGGACTCTGGGCTGGTGGTCACTGACCCCAGGGGTCGAGGCCAAGCTATAATGGGCCCTCTGTTAATCACCAACTGGACAAACTGGGGCCACGCTGCTCCTGCTGCTCCCGAGGGGCCAGCCCAGCTGCTGGCTCAGGTTCCTTGTCATTTCCCAAGTCGGCTAAGGAGCAAGTATCCCTTTAGCATATTCTTAGAGCATTCTTTGTAGACTATAGTTCTTAAACAAACAAACAAAGCCAATAACCATGTCGGATACATTCTCGTCACATTTTAGATCTTGTGCTTCAAACTGTTTTGTAGCGAGTGTCTCAGGATGTAATTTGCTGGCACACACAGTTAACTCACTGAAGTATACAGTTCTGTGGTTTTTCAATGGTGTGAACTGGTTGCATGATCATCATTATAGTGTAGTATTAAAATTTTTTCCATCATCCTGAAAGGTTCCTTGTGCCAGTTACAGTGAGTGATCCAAGCACTTCCTCCAGCCTCAGGCAGCCATGGCAATGTCCAGAGTGAAATCTCTCTCTTCATCCCTTCCAAGCAGACAGCTTTAACACTTCGGCATTTACTGACTTTGCAAGGGTTTGTGCATCAGCTCCACCCTTACAGAAAGGAAGAGGGAGCCACTCTATACCATCATTGTGCAAGTTGCTTCTTGCACCTGGAGGTCTCTCTATGCCCGCCGAGTGCCTACTATGTGCCACCAGTCACAGTTGGCTCTAACTGACACCCTCCCCCCAGCTACATTGTGGTCCTTTGTGTGACAGCTCCATCACTTACTTCCCCAGCACATTTTGGGTCCTTTCCAATTCTCTTCAAACAATGCTTCAATGAATATCCTTGTCCATTGCAAGCAATTTTGTAGGGAATGCTGTATTATGTGCTTTGAATATGCACAATCAAATTGTTATCTAGAGAGGTTAAAATGCTTATGCCATCAGGAATGTTCATTTGAGCAGTGTGGGCTTTAATCAGCTCTGAGTTGAGTCTAAGTCAGCCCACTATGGGCTCCACAGGCCTGAGGGTCGGCTTCCTACACCACGGAGCCCAGAGCACTAAGGCTTCTACAGACACCTGATAAATCCTGCGTTTTTAGGATTACACAAAGGCCCCCGGGCACCCTCCTTCCTCGACAGCTTGCCCTCTAAGTCACCTTGTTATTCACTGTGCATGAGCTGTGTTTGTCTGCCCTTTGCCCATTCCTTCCCTGGGATGCTGTTCTCAGTCCTGACGGTCCCCTCTGTCCTGTTAGGCTTCACCTATGTCCACTTAAGTGGGAAGAAATTGGGGTGGGAGAGGGCAAAATTCAACCCTATCCAATAAGAAATCATGTAGTACAGGCTCCAAAGGGAGCTGGGGTGAGTGAGCGTTGCCACCTCCAGACCAGGCTATCTGAGCAGGCCTGATCTAACCCTCTGCAACCTCTGTGCCCAGTAGGAGACCGAGACACAGTATGTAGGAGTCCAACCTAGATCCCTAACTTCCCAGTGATGAGCTGAGGAGTGGGGGAGACTCAAATCCTGGCTCCCCAGGAGAGGATAGAGAGCCTGAAATAGAAAAACTACTACAGAAGGAGATGGAGGTGTCATCAGCCTAGAGGAGTAGATAAAAGTGTCACCCCCGGCAGAGGCAAGTGTGTCTGGTCAACAGGCAACAACTTTGTACAACGAAGTGACTAAGGTTTGCCAAAAACCTTTTAAAAAACAAAAATGTTATTGAAAGAACAAAAGAAATGCCATTTTGAGAAAAGTAGAACCAGAGATTAAGAGTTCTGCTCTCCTGATGGGGAACCGGAGCTCTTCCGTGTAGCCCAGATGTCCAGACCCAGAACTACCTGAGACAGGGGTTGACAATACTGTATTAGTTGTCCTCTTCATGGGATTGTGCCAGTCCTGAACTCTTCTGCACCGTTTCCCCCTCTGTGAAATGGGCTCTCTTTAGAGTGTCCACTCTGAAAAGGATGCTCCAATGACCCTTTGAGTAGAAAGCGCCACAAACGGTTAGTTCGTGCTAGGTGGTTCTTTTGTTTTGTTTTGTTTTGTTTGTTTAGTTTTTGTTGAACCTGCTAATAGCACCGATAAGAGGGGGCTTGCACGGGTCACAGAAAAACCGCTCTCCCCAAGTTAGCTCCTGCTCTATGTCAGACCAAATGCCGATCTTTCCCTTGGAAACTAGGGTCCAAGGGGCGACCGCACCCATTCGGGTGGGTGTGGGAACCCAGATGTCTCGGAGATCCAGGACAGATCCCCGCCTCCCCCGCGGGCCACAAGGCCCTCCCTGCGGGGCGGTCCCCAGCTAGGGCGGGATGGGGCGGCCGGCTACTTAAAGGTTGGGGCGACCGCGGGGCCACGGCCGCAGCCTGGGTCCTCACCGTCGCCATGGCTCCGAACCTCTCGCTGCTCTGCGCGCTGGTCCTGGCGCTGTGCGCACCGTCGCCGTCCCGTGCGGCCACAGGGTTGCGGGGCGCGGCCGGAGTGAGGGCGCCCCAAAGTCGGGCGTCTGAGGCGCGGGTGAGTGCCCGGGCTCCGCGGGGCTCCCCGAGTAATTGTCTATTGTAAGTTCTTGCAGATACAGCGCTAGGAAAAGGGGAGTTATTCAGGTGTAGAATGGAAAAACTGTTTTGTTGCTTTGTAAGTATGTCTTGCTGCTTCGGGGCTCCTGGGGGCGAGGGTGGGGGCCCTGGGTCAAGGCTGTTTCCCTCCCTGCAGGCTAACCTCACCTTAGCCGGATCTCTCCCCCACTACTGATTCGGTTCCCATCTCCTTTACCATGTGTAATTTCTTGTGTCTGCCCTACTTCCATCCGTGCTGTCAGAGTCCTCCTTATTTGATGCCTGCCCCCCCCCGCACCCCGTTTCCCTACGAATACCTATGGACATGACTGTTATTCTCTCCTCTCGACCTTGACTGTGGTCTCCCGTCCCCCGCCCCTCCCACCTGCCGTCTCCTTTCGTGCTCTCCTCCACTTGTCTGAGTTTCTCTAACTTTTGAGTCTGTTCTAACTTCTCCGGCCTGATTTTTGTTCCTACCAGACCTCCTTCTGGCCAAGGTGACCTGCTGACTTCCATTCTTAGGCGCCAACCTAACCTTCTGTCCCATCGCCACCCCACCCCCACCCCCCACCCCCCAGCATGCCTGGCAGCCTTTCCCACCCTCGACCTTCTCCTCCTAACAGGTTCCTGCAGACTTCAGGCTCCATCCCTCCCCCTTTTCCGAGACGTGGAAATGGGGTGGGTTCTGGGGTGGGGCAGGTGGGAGGAGGCAGACAGCGCAGGAGGCCACTTGGGCCCACTAAGCCAATCCTTTCTCGGGGTATGATGGAAGATGGAGGGGCCCGAAGTGATCTTCCCTGTTTCAAAGAGCAAACACAAAAAGGCCATGTGACCCAGGCTCACGCCCCTTTCCATCATCTGGTCCTCAGTTTACCTGTTTGCGGAGTAGGGGTGAATGATGAGTTCCAAGCCAAGAAGGTGCTGGAAGGAAGCGAGCAGAGTCTCTGGGGACCGGGAGAGTTGCCACCACCACCCGGGATCCCAGGGACACCCTCTATGTTGTTCCCTAACCGAGGGTCCTGCCTCTCTGTGCCTTAGCTGGCCCATTGGCAGCAAAGGGAGTAGGGCTCTCTGCCTCCTCCATAACAATAAACAAGTGAGGAGCAGAGTGGGAGGCAGACTGGCCTAGCCTGAGCTGAGGATGAGTACGCTCAACTCCCAGAAAGGGGCTGCTTCTCCTCCACCACAGGAGAGCAGGAGGCTCAAGTGAGTCAGTCCTGGCGCTGGAACCTGCCCTCCCTCTGCCTGGGGTCTCTCCCTGCTGAGACCCACACCCCCGCTCAGGCTCTGCCCTGTCTCTCTGCAGCCCAGCACCATGGTGGTGGAGCACCCCGAGTTCCTCAAGGCAGGGAAGGAGCCTGGCCTGCAGATCTGGCGTGTGGAGAAGTTTGACCTGGTACCTGTGCCCCGCAACCTCTATGGAGACTTCTTCACGGGTGACGCGTATCTCATCCTGAAGACAGTGCAGTTGAGGAATGGGAATCTGCAGTATGACCTCCACTATTGGCTGGGTGAGTAAGTGTTCCTGCTCACCCCACCCCCCTACAAAGCGTGGATATACCTGGACACTTTGAACCCGGTGATCCGTATGTCAGGCCTTGGTTAGTGGTTCCATGCCACTACACTCTAGAGCCAGCCTGGCCATGTTCAGGTCCCAGCTCTGCCCCTTGACCTGTGATCTGCCTTTCAGTAACTTCCCAGTGTTTTTTATAGAGTGAACGTGCTGACAGCTATGCTACCTCACAAGATGTAAAACAAGTGATGCTAGGTGACTGGGGACCCTGGGTCCCCTGCACTTCCTTAGCTCAGCTCCAATCACTCCTTCATTTACTCTTCACAGTTAGGAGCATAGAGTCTCTAACATTGGCTCTGGTCTGTTTTAGGGTTACCCCATTATACAGATGGAGTAACTGAGGCTCTTGGAAAGCAGGGAGGGACTCGCTCAGTTTCTATAGCCAGGCCAGAGCAGAGCTGTTGGCTCTGGATGCCTCCTCCCCAAAGGCTTCCAGATGCTGGTCCCATGCTGCCCTGATGTTCCCTGATGTCCCCAGGTAATGAGTGCAGCCAGGATGAGAGCGGGGCGGCCGCCATCTTTACTGTGCAGCTGGATGACTATCTGAACGGCCGGGCTGTGCAGCACCGTGAGGTCCAGGGCTTTGAGTCCTCCACCTTCCTCGGCTACTTCAAGTCCGGACTGAAGTACAAGGTGGGTTGGCATTTACTTTATTTGGCTGGCCAGTGCTCACGGTCTCCCAGCTTTGTGGAGTGATGGACAGACAGGCCACATGTCAGGCTCTGGCTTCTCAGCCGTGGGTTTGAACCCTGGTCTGTCGTCTCAGTGTGGTGGCCTTGGACAAGCCAAACTCCCTCCTTGAGCTTCTGATTCTTTGTCTTACAATGAAAAGAAGGTTCTCTACATCTTTGGAGTGTCTTCTTCCCACATCAGAGGGAGCCCATGGTGGCCTTCTCACAGCCCCGAGGGGCTGTACCAAGTCCCAGTCATGCACCCTGCTAGGGCTTTGCTGACAGGCTCCTTTCATTCACACACATCTTTCCCCTTGAACTTGGACTTTTATACGTCTGTACCATAGTTTGTCCCTAAGCTTCCGGCCAGACAGGATCAAAGCCAAGCTGGGAACCCTGGCAACTGTACCCCAATATGCTGTGCAGCCTCCAGCACCCCCTGACACCAGAGCCTGCCTGTGTCTCTGGGTGTCAGAGAGCCAGTTGTACCTGTCCTACAGTTTCAGGGAGAGGATGTGGGGCAGAGGTGGCTGGGAAATGTCCCAAAGCTTGGCTCCTTGAAGAGTTCAAGAGAAGCTCAGTTCTCTTTGTTTAGGGTAGAGAGGAGATTACAAGTTTATGAACGAGATGAATCTAGAGCTCTCATTTTATGGGGGCCGGAGCAACTGAAGTACGGAGAGGTTGAGCAATTGGACCAGGCTCACACAGTTAGTTCGGTGGAGTTAGACCGGAACCCAGATGGCCTGTCAATCTCCCAGTTTCCACTAAACCAACCTGTCTCCTGTGGCCGGGTTCCAGGGAGGACATACCCTACCTGTGCCTCTGCCGCTCTCTGGCCCTCAGAGCCCCCTTTGTCAATGCAGAAGTACCTCCCTCATTCCCAGGTGAGGGACAGGGACTGAGTGATGGAGGAGGACCTGTGACACTTAGATACCAAGAGACAGTGTGTCCTGGACCAGCAGCCCGGGATGGGTGGGGCTGGGCTGGCTTTCCTGGCATGTACCCAGCCGCATTTGGGGAGTTACTGTGGCTGAGCTCCTGCCGCTGCCCAGCTAAGCAGCTCTGCCCTCCTCCTGCCGTCCTCCGGGTCCTTGAAATCCTGAGGAAGAAGAAGTGGGGGGCCAAGTCTTGCCGCAGACAGACCAGCATAGTCTCTCCATTGGTCATTCACTCAGTGGACAGTTTCAGGCTCCTAGATCAAGCTGGGTGTGGTGGCACACGCTCTGATCCCAGACTTTAGGGGGCAGAAGGTCAAGAGTTTAAGGTCACATTCTGCTAGCTGGTACATCCACAGGCCAGCTGAGCTTCAGGAGGCCTTTTCTAAACACTTGACTGGGGAGTACGGGAAGGAAGGAAAGAGGGAAGGCAGGTGTGGTACTGGGAACCTGTGTGATCCGGTTTTGTCCTCGAGGCTCCAAAGGGTCACATAACAGGTGGTGGAGGCCCAGCCTGGGTCGTTGCCCCCCCCCCCCCCTCCGATTCTGTCAGACTCTACACTGAGCATTGGGTGTCCAGGGGGTGGGGGTGGGGCAGGGCAGGAGACTAGAGAGGACTGTCAGTCTTCAGAGAGTCGACCCACTGAATCCTGGAAGGAAGAGGGGGAGTCGGAGGACTCACGGGGTCAGCTCTCACAGGCATCACGGTCGTCCATCTGCCTCAGTTACCTGTTGCCTTGGGGAAAGCTGAGCAGATAGAAATGTGACAGTTGTCTTGAACACAAGGACAGATTACCAGGCCAGATAACATTGCAGAGCAGGCTATGGGCGGCCCAGGTTTGGAGACGGAGGTACAGCATATATTGAGCAGGCTATGGGCGGCCCAGGTTTGGAGACGGAGGTACACTATATATTGAGCAGGCTATGGGTGGCCCAGGTTTGGAGACAGAGGTACACTATATATTGAGGATTTCCTACAGAATCCCATTTCATTCTCACCATTGCTTAACTGGGGTGGCAGTGGTGTTCCCGTTTCATAGATGAGAAAGCTGAGGTTCTGTGGAATCTCTATGAGCTAGGAGAATGTGCTCACATCATTTGCATGCCCTTCACTCAGTTTCTTTGGTACTGTGAGGTCCGTCGCCAGTACTGGCCGCACTGTGTGAAGGAGGAACGTGAAGTACTGGGTGCTAAGCACCCTGCCCAAGTCTCGCAGCTGGGCAGTGATGTGGATGAGACGCAGACTCAAGTGTGAAGGCTCTAGCACAGCGGAGAGCTAGTCCAGAGTGATGTTCCAAGAGCCCCCGACCTTAGCTCTGTGGGGCTCGTCCACTGCTTATCTAACTAGCCTCTCCTTTATCAAAGGGGTTTTCTGGGGTGTTCTTGACCGTGCTCTGAGGAACACTTGAGAAGCAGGTCCCAGTCAGGGCTCAGATTTGGGGCTTCAGTCACGAAAGGACCTGGTCCCTGGAGGACATGGGAGGCCGGTGTTTACCACCTCCTGCAGACCTTCAGGTTGCCCGCCCCCGCACTTGGCAGGCCCAGACTGAGGTCCTTGGCCTCCCCACCTCATCCATTATAGATGCCGAGGAGCCAGGCCTGTTACACAAGACTTGTTTCTATGAAAGCCTCCCGGGAGCCACCTCTGTCCTGGAACAGAGAAGGGGCAGCGAGGGGACACGGAGCCGACAGGAAGAGTTGTCTTATTGTTCTGTCACCCCGGTCATTCGTTCCTGTCACTGTCCTGGGTGAGGGTGGGTGGGCTCTGATCCTTTGTCACTCACCCTTCCGGCTCTCCCTTTCATCTTCACCCACCACCCTGGGGATCCCCCAAGGGCTGGGTTATTTTAAGTCCTTTGCTCGAAGAGAATCTAGGCTTATCAGTCTTGGGAGTCCTGGACCATGAGACAGCTGGAGACCAGACAGCTGCTGGGGCCTTGTCTTAGGAAAGGACTCTGGGTAGAGGATGGGTGAGTCCAGCCCCAGCAAGGTTTTTAGTTGTTTATGTTTGTTTTTAATGGGAATTTTAGTGCCCCCCCGGATCCCCAGTAGCTGAATAAGGCAAGCTGAACACAGACTAGCCAACACTAAGGAGAACTCTCAGAGGGATTGGTCCTGAGACCCCATCCCAGAAGGCACAAACCAATGGTGGTTGGTTACCTTGGCTCTTTCCACAAACCTGTCTGTCAGCTTTGTGTCTTTAATTCAGAGAATGGCTCTTTAAACAATTCACCCTGTGCCTGTGGGATTTTGTTAGAAGAATTTGATGCTGATCTCTTCCCACCCAAAGATTAGACTAGACAGCAATAATCAATCCTTAAAAAAAGTAACAGAAAAATTCTAAAAATTCCCATCCTTTCCTTTGTACATCTAATGGTGTCTTGCTGTATTTAGTGTGTGTGTGTGTGTGTGTGTGTGTGTGTGTGTGTGTATAATCAGGCATTCTTTCACTTTATAAACTTTGTAAAGAAAGAGAAGCTGGGCTTCACAGCACAGGACTGTAATCCCAGCTACTTGAGGGGCTGAGGCAGGAGAATTGCAAGTTCAATACCAACCTTGGTAATATATCAAGGCTGTCTCAAAGTAAGAAGTTAAAAAAAAGGCCAAGGAAGCCGGGCACTCGGGAGGCAGAGGCAGGCAGATCTCTGTGAGTTCGAGGCCAACCTGGTCTACAAAGCGAGTTCCAGGAAAGGCGCAAAAACTACATAGAGAAACCCTGTCTCGAAAAACCAAAAAAAAAAAAAAAAAAAAAGGCCAAGGATGCAGCTGAGTGTTTGCCTAACCCGTGCAGATCCCAGATCCCATTCCCAGTGTCGGGGGGGGGGGGGGGGGGGAGGGAGGGAGAGATAGAAAGGGAAAGGGAGAGAACTGATAAGGAGAATCCTCATGGCTGAGATTAATGACACAAAGCTTCAAAGAGTTTTTGGGTTTTTGTTTTTTGTTTAGAGACAGGGTTTCTCTGTGGAGCCTTGGCTATGCTGGAACTCTCTAGACCAGGCTGGCCTCAAACTCACAGAGATCCACCTGCCTCTGCCTGCTGAGTGCTGGGATTAAAGGCATGCCTACTACCGCCCAGCCAAAGAGTTATTTTTAAAAAGCAGAACAAAAGGCATGCTTGAACAAGTAAAACTATTTTCGAGTGTATAAAGCAAGCAGAGAGTCTCTCCTATCCCCACACTCCTTTGTGTCTGAGGAACCAGTACCGCAGGTCCTCTTGGCACCCGCTTATTAGAAAAGCTTCTCGGACCCCCTCATTCTTGCTATCCACCTGAGCAAGGCCCACAGACTCTCAGGAGCCCCAGGGCTGACTGCAGTGAGGCTGGTTCTAAAAGGCAGAAGAACATGGGCTTGGAGTCCATCTGTGCAGCCACCTGGTGGGGGAGCCTGGTCACGTGTCTAGGCCTCAGGACTGCTATTCCTTGCCCAGGAATTGATGCAATAACTGTCCTCCTTAGAGGCTGTGAGTCCTGCATGGACAGCGGGTTCCCAGCCTTACTGTCTGTCAGTCACGGTGCCCTGGGGTCCTGTGGGTCACTGTGGAGTGAGCACAGGGCGATAGGGAATGCTGCCCAGGTTTCCCCCCCTACCTGGTCCCTGGTGACTCTTAGGACCATCCTGCCTCAACCCTTGCTCTCCTCCAGCCCCTACTCACTTTCTTGGATCTCAGGCATCATGGCCACCTGGGCCCTTGCCAGAACTTAGGTTTGTTCTTTCTATGATAGAAAAAGTTCCTGACTTGCTATTGACTTGCTGACTTCCTGAGTCACGGGGGGAACTATGGATGTAGCCCTGCTCCACACTGAGGTCATTCATACCTGGTGGCACCCACAGCTCTGCCAGAAGTGCTCCTGACAGGGTGAGGGCAAGTCAGTCCAAACTGAGTGCTTTGCCTTAGGCCTGGGCAAAGCTGAATAGGCCTTACGCCCACACCAAGAAGGGACACCAGAGGGCGCTCTAGCCCCAGCAACGGGAACTTGCTTGTGTTAGATGAGTGACCCCTTGGGGATGTTTGGGGGGAAGAACATGGCTTTGTAGATTTAGACGTGCTGAGTTTTGATCAAGGTTCCGCCATCCATCCCACTGTGCGAGGTTAGGCAAGTCTCTGCATGTGTGGGCTCTGCGCTCCTCACCTGTGAGATACATATGAAATGTGTAGCAATGGTGGGTGTGCTCACGTGACAAACTCGTCCGTAGCTCTTACCGTTACTGTGCATAGCAGGAGCCTGGTTTGAAATGACTGCCCCTCCCCACTTGCCTCCATCAAGTCTGTATGGCGAGGGCCGGGCAGCACCCAAGGGAGGTGGGCAGATAGGGTCCTGGCTGGGTGGTCTGAGGACCCACAGGAGCCCTGAGCTCCCGCCCTGTGGTGTGTGGAACAGGGAGAAGTCCTTTAGCAGGCGGTAAGCCCTGACTGTGCCACAGGCTTGCTGGTCATGCCCAGGGAAGCGCTTCACTTCTCTGGGCTTCGGTTTAGGCGAAATGAATGTAAGGTCGAGGACTGTGAGTACCTGGAGCTGGAGAAATCCCAGCTTCCTTTGGCTTCCTACTGAACCAAGGGTGTGCGGCAACTGGGGCAGGGAAGCCCATGAGCCGGTCCCTTCAGCAGCTGGTGGTGGCTGAGGGGTGGAGGAGAAGCCTGAGGCTGAGAGAGGGAAGAAGATCATCCAAAGTCATCTGGCACTGTGGTGGAGGGAGGGCTGTGCCTTCCCACTGCCTGCCTCTGAAGGCCCAAGTGGACTCCACACCACAGGAGGAAGGAGATGGATGATGTGGGCTGGGGAAGTCCAGGAGGACCGTCAGCCTTGGAGGATGGAAGGACTGGGATGAGTGGGTTAGCACTTAGAAACACATGGTTTTCAGAACGGGTGCTGGAACAGGGTGAGCTGGGGCAAAGTGGTGAGCTGGGGAGGGGCTCTGAAACAGAAGGCAAGCAGGTGTGTTCGCTGTGGGAGCCTTCACTGTGTTCCTGTGCTCTGTGCAACAGCAGGGTGAGTGAGTAAGGAGCATTCCCTACACTTTGATCGTGGATCCCTTTCCTTGAAGAATATCTTGAGTAGGTGTCTTGGGGAATGCTGGCTTTGAGAGAGGAATGTTTGCAGTCCTTTGGTTCGGGGAAGTGGCTCCAAGGGATCTTTTGGGTGGAGAGTAAGAATCAGTGGGTGTCATGTGTAGGGAATCTATTACTTCTTAGCTGTGTGGTCTTGGGTAAATGTTATTTATTTTCTGAACCTCAGCAAAGAATGTCTCGGTGGGGCTGGAGAGATGGCTCAGAGGTTAAGAGCACTTGCTGCTCTTCCAGAGGTCCTGAGTTCAATTCCCAGCAACCACATGTTGGCTCACAAACATCTGTAATAAGATCTGGTGCCCTCTTCTGGTGTGCAGGCAGAACACTGTATACATCATAAATAATAAATCTTTAAAAAAAAAAAAAAAAAAAAGAATGTCTCGGTATCAGACACAGTAACAGTGGAAGTCCTGGCTTAGCTGAGCATCCACTGGCCAGAATTTCCCTCCCCTCAGTCCTATGCCCCACCCCCCATATCTACTTCACTGGACCTTCTGCCCTGGACTAACACTGTCCCCTTGACCTGACAGAAAGGAGGCGTGGCATCTGGATTCAAGCATGTGGTACCCAATGAGGTGGTGGTACAGAGGCTCCTACAGGTCAAAGGACGCCGTGCAGTCCGTGCCACCGAGGTGCCTGTGTCCTGGGACAGCTTCAACAATGGTGACTGCTTCATTCTGGACCTGGGAAACGTGAGTCTTGCCTGCCCTTCTCCAGGGTTGCTGTGGTGAACTTGGCTAGGTCTGACTCTGGGGAGGGGAAACACTCGTGAACAGGTGCATGAACACTCGGGGCAGGCCACAGGGACCAGAAAGTCTGTGTTGGGCACACAAACCCAGTACAGATGAGTCTGGTACTCCTAGATTCCCACATGCGGATCCAAGAATGTCATGCATGTATGCATGGATCTTTGGTCCTCATCATTTGCACAATGTTTTTGATACACAGACTCTCTGATATCTCTTGACCTTTTAAAACATAGACACTCATTTCTAAGCACATGGCAGTTGTGGGCGAAACCTGTAGGCTCTTGTCCACTGTGGACACTCGCACTGCAGCAAGTGCCCAGACTTGGACCCACAGTGTATGACATGCGCATCATTGGTTGCATATGTATTTGGTATGTGACGATGTGTGTGATGCACATATCCCCAGGCCCACCTACACCTACTTGCATGGGTGATGCTTCCTACATACTTGCCTCATAGCTCCACATGAGCACAAACCTGCAAATGGTCATAGCCAGACATTGCACCCCAAAACTTGTGTGCATATGTACCTGTGGTATAAAGTTGTATCTTGACTTAGCATAGGCTTTTAAAAAAATGTCTTAAAATTATTTTATGTGTAATGGTGTTTTGTCTACATATATCTCTGTGTACTGCATGTGTGCCTGGTGTCTACAGAGGCCAGAAGAGGGAGTTGGATCCTCTCGGACTGGAGTTGTAGATGGCTGTGAGCTGCCATGTGGGTGCTGGGGGTTGAACCCAGGTCCTCTGAAAGAACAGCCAGTGCTCTGAACTGCTGAGCCATATCTTTAGCCTGGGTGTAGTTTTTTGTTGAAGTAAAATGGCTTGGCATGTTCTAATTCGAACTGCTGTTCTGTGGATTTCACCCAGTGAATGTACCTGTCAAACTCCTATCTAATTGAAGATCAAGAAACAGAACATCACAGTTACCTAGAAAGCGTGGGCTGTTCCCTGTAGGTAGAGTTTTCCTGCCTGGCCCACAGTCAGGACAAATCTCTGTTACCCGCCAGTCCCACAGCAGCTCAGACCCGACCAAGTAAACACAGAGACTTATATTGCTTACAAACTGTATGGCCGTGGCAGGCTTCTTGCTAACTGTTCTTACAGCTTAAATTAATCCATTTCCATTAATCTATACCTTGCCACATGGCTCGTGGCTTACTGGCATCTTCACATGCTGTTTGTCATCGTGGCGGCTGGCAGTGTCTCTCTCACTCAGCCTTCCACTTCCCAGCTTTATTCTCCTCCTTGTCCCACCTATACTTCCTGCCTAGCCACTGGCCAATCAGTGATTTATTTATTGACCAATCAGCAACACATTTGACATACAGACCATCCCACAGCAGTTCCCTCCCAGTCTTTACCTCTGAGGACAGCCCTCATCTGGAACTCTCTCGACAGGATAGACTCGCTTTGCACATTTCTGAAATTATGCACAGGAGACCTTCCTCTTTGGTGTTGAACTCTCCTCAGCCTTGGTTTCTAAGAGGCTGAGGGAGCTGTAAACAGTGCTTGCAGTTCTGCTATAACAGAAGCTCGGAGATGACATAATTACGTAAAAGTTGATTTAGGCTCACAGACTGGGGAGTGACCAGCTGCTTTACAAAATGGCTGCTGTAGACAGGCAAAGGGCCCTGTGCAAAACAGTTGAGAGACAGAGGTGACCTGTGCTGGAGTAGGAAATACTGAACCTACGTGAAAGATATTAATCCCAGCGCAGCCACAGTGGCCATCAAACTTTAACATGAACGGCAGAGGAACAAATTACATGCAGTCCATACCAGGCAGCAATCTAGGTGACATGCACGTGTGGCCTGCTGGCCCTCACCTGGGCAAGCACAGGCCAAGGGAAGCTTGGACATAGCCACAGTCTGCACATTGCCTCCTTCCAGGCAGGCTTGTGCAAAGGCTGGGCCCTGACCCCCTGGGCGCTCTGTCTTACAGGATATCTATCAGTGGTGTGGCTCCAGCAGCAACAGATTTGAAAGGCTGAAGGCCACACAGGTGTCCAAGGATATCCGGGACAACGAGAGGAGTGGCCGTGCCCGAGTACACGTGTCTGAAGAGGGTGGAGAGCCAGAAGCGATGCTCCAGGTGTCTGTGGGGTATGGGTGGGGTGGACGGGGGGAGGGGGCAGGCTACCCCTGCCTTCTTTATGAAGGGTTATTTAGTAAGGCCCCTACCCTGCTCCTGCAGACCTGGTTTTGTTTTTTACCCGCCTGAACATTTAGGGAGTAGGTGGCTCCCTGCAACTCAACTCCCCTGAGAACTAAGCTGGAATCACAGGTGTGGTGCATGCTGGGAGTGCACGTCACACCCTCCATCGAGGAGGACCCAGTCTTCCAAAGGAGCAGGTTAGGAAAGAGGTCCTCCCAACATTTTTTGAGGACTACCTGGAACTACTGAGACCCAGCCGTCAATGCCCTCTGCTGACATTCCTGTTTATTTATGTTATTTAGTTACTAGTATGATGGGGTTGTCAGCTGCCATGCTTTGAGAACCTACCGATGGAGGCAAGGTTCCCCAGGAAGAGGAGGGGAGTGTCTGCTCTGGGCCACTTTTGCTCCCACTTGCTGGGGGCATCTAGTTCTGATTTTTGCAAAGAGCAAAGGGATTTTATGGGGAGAAAGAAAAAGATCCCAGACATCAGGGCCAGTAGGCAGGATTAAGACCTCGAATGGAACTGAGCAAACAGGCCTGAAGTCATGGCAGTTGAGGTTCCAATTCTGACCGCCTCCTAGAGGCTGTTGAGATCAAGTAAGCATTGTCTCTCCAGCTCCCAGCGCCTCTTGCTGTGAATGGAGAGTGGTAAGTGAGATCCCCTCCAGTCCCGGCCAGATGTTTGGCCTTTGCAGTGGGCCCCAGTGCGAAGCAGATGACTGAGGGAAGGTCCAGCCTGGACTCGGGGCACAGAGTGGGAAGGGCATTGACAGGCAGGTCATGGGAACTTTTTCTCTGAAGGAAAAGTAGATTCAAGATGTCAGGGCCAGGCAGGTTCCGGCCTGCTGGGGAGCTCTCTCAAAAGCCTCCATGCTCATGGTCACCTTCCACCCCATCTCCACACCTCCTCCAGGTGCTGGGCCCCAAGCCAACCCTGCCTGCAGGTACCGAGGACACAGCCAAGGAGGATGCGGCCAATCGAAAGCTGGCCAAGCTCTACAAGGTGAGCCCCAGGGGTACTAGTTCCGCACTAAACAGGGCCAGGCTGGGGAGACAGGAGGCCCCGCCTTCCTCAGCTGCCCTGCATCCCTCCGTCCGTCCGTCCGTCCGTCTGTCCGTCAGGGACTGACACCCCAGGTCCCAGCGTGTCTGTTGTTCTCCTGAAGCCAGAGTCGGAGGGCGGCTCTGCTGGATGTGTAGAGCTTGGGTCCCCACCCCTCCCTGCAAAAAGAAACAAACTTTGTTGTTGTTTTGGTTTGAGTTTGGGTTTTTTGTTATTTGTTTGACATGATCTTGTCTTACTGTGTAGTCCAGGCTAGCCTTGAGCCTCATGCCTCAGCCATCCAAGTCCTGGGATTACAGGTGGGCACCACTGTGCCCAGCCAGAGGGTCATCTTTGCAGAATTTTGTAGGATTTCCGGGAGCCACCTTCGGACTGGGGTGAGGGTGAGGGTTATGGCTCACATTTCCGGTTTGGGTCCAGTGCTGGGGCCCATCCCAGGGCCGTGGCTTGTGCACATCATCAGGCTGGTGCCAGCCTTCATCCCTTCCCTCTCATTTTGGAATCCAGGATGAGGCCCATGTGACGGTCCCCAGCTCCCACAGCTCCTTCCTCAGGGACTCAGGAGCCTCCGCTTACTCAGAGCCAGTCTTGTGAAATTTGACTGGTGGACACCTTGTTTTGAAGTTGAATGAACTCTTTGTATTAGAAGTTCTTAGATTTCCAAGAGTATTGTAGAAATGGTCCGCATAACCTCCTCCAGCTTCTCCTCAGCATCCTAATGTGAGCAGACATTCTCAGCTAAGCATCCGAGATAGGGCCAATGCTGACAACCAATTACAGGCGTAATTCTCATTCTCCAAGTTCGTTTTAAGTGCAATCCGGAGCAGCACACCATGTCTGGTTATTGTCATTTTTCTTCTCATTCTTTATGATCTCAAAGGCTTCTCAGCAAACTCTTTACAACTTCTCGGAGGCCCTACACCTTTTCCTAAGACAAAGTCTCACTACGTAGTTGAGGATGACCTTGAATTTCTGATCTTCCTGCCTTCTCCTCCTGAGTTCTAGGATTACAGGTGTGCACACCACACCTGGTTTGTGGGGTGCTGGGGGAATAGAACCCCAGGCTTTGTGCATACTAGGCAAGCAGAGCTACATGCTCAACCCCAGGATCCTCCCTTGCTCCGTTTATCCACCTTCCTATTCCAGGTGCAGCATCCGTGTTACATGCTAGATAACATGCTTGACTGTGCTGCAGAGCTGGATGGGCCTGGACAATGATCTCTGCCTGCCTTTAGGTGCTCACGTGCCCCTTCTCCATCCCCACAGGTCTCCAACGGTGCAGGCAGCATGTCAGTCTCCCTCGTGGCTGATGAGAACCCATTCGCCCAGGGCGCCTTGAAATCTGAGGACTGTTTCATCCTGGACCATGGCCGAGATGGGAAAATCTTTGTCTGGAAAGGTACAGGGCAGGTGCCTAGGTTCCATTGGTCTCTAGAGGCTTCTGGGACCTCAGACCCAGGGAGAACAGTGTTGGAGGCTTCTGGAACAAAGAAAAGCAATCAGGATCCTAAGCTAATGCCTAGCTTTGCAGTTGGCTCACTGTATGGTCCTAGGCTCTTGCAGAGCCTGAGTCCCTGTTTGGATTCAAATGAATGTTTGCCAAGTGTGCGATGAGATCAGTCCTCTGAGAAGTTAATTGACACTATGTAAAATTTATATATCTTTAAAAGGTGTAGCTTTGTGGGTCCAAAACTCTTGGGCCCCAGCATACTGAATGAGGTCAGCAGTATGTTATTGTATGGCTTGCTCTCCGCTGGGGGTGGGAGCCTTTGTGAAGGTGATTGTACAGGAGGCACCAGGGTGTTCTTTGTGGATGGAGTGTCTCCTGTTAGGCTTTTGAGAGTCCAGAGACATCTGAGAAGTCTCCCTCCCACCTCCCCACCCTGAGTGCTTCTTCAGATGCTGGATACTGGTGCTGGGAAAAGGGAGGGAGGTAGTGGGTGGAGACAGCAAGAACTTGCTGGGCTGGCTGTCGGAGGGATCTGGGCGTGGACTGGCCAGGGCCTCACCTGACTCTTTGAAGCTCTCCAGGGCTGGAGCAGAGGCCTGGCTGTGGGGAGGGAGGAGCCTTCTGTGTCCAGTGTGTGGCCTGGGCTAACTTCCGTGACCTCTCTGAGACACCCATTTCCTTATATAAGAGAGGGACCAAGACAGCCGTGACCTCTATGATTTAAGGCTGTTATGTGGATTAAATGAAGTGATCTCTGTGTAGTTATGGTATCAAATCTGTGTTCAGTAAATGGACCACAGTGGTTGTCATGGTTGCTGTTATTGGCAAGGACCCCAGAGGGGGCATCTCTTGGAACTAGAAGCCCTCAGCTCTTAGGGGTGATGCTCCCTGGCTATCTATGGTCTAAGTTTAAGAAGAGTAGGGACTTCTGAGCTGCTGTGTAAGGGTTTCTGTTGCTGTGAAGAGACACCATGACCACAGCGACTATCTTAAGGAAACATTTAACTGGGACTGGCTTTAACTGAACAGTAGTGCAGAGGTTTAGTCCATTGTCGTCGTGGCATGAGGCATGGCAGCACGCAGGCAGACATGGTGCTGGAGAAGTAGCTGAGAGTCCTACATCCTGATCTGCAGGCAGCAGGAAGAGAGAGCGACACTGGGCCTGGCTGGAGCATCTGAAACCTCAGAGTCCACCCCAGTGACATACTTCCTCCAACAAAGTCACACGAGCTCCAACAAGGCCACACCTCCTAATAGCACCACTTTCTATGAACCTATGGGGGGCATTTTCATTTAAATCACCACAGCTGCTGACCTCACATCATTTCTTTGACTTCTGGCAGGCAAGCAGGCTAACATGGAGGAGCGGAAGGCTGCCCTCAAAACGGCCTCAGACTTCATCACCAAGATGGAATACCCCAGGCAGACCCAGGTGAGGGTCTGAGGCCAGGGAGAGGCAGGTTCAGTGGTGGTAAGGATGGAGGGGTCCCCCATCCTCCTTGGGGACTGGATGGGCACCTGAGGCTCTCGGAGACGCCTGCTAGGCAGCCTTGCCACATCCTGCTCCTCTCCTCTTCCCAGGTTTCAGTCCTTCCGGAGGGTGGCGAGACCCCGCTGTTCAAGCAGTTCTTTAAGAACTGGCGGGACCCAGACCAGACAGATGGCCCTGGCCTGGGCTACCTCTCCAGCCACATTGCCAACGTGGAGCGGGTGCCTTTCGATGCTGCAACATTGCACACCTCCACGGCCATGGCCGCCCAGCATGGCATGGACGATGACGGCACTGGCCAGAAACAGGTATTGGAACCGCAGTTTTAGAGCAAAGGCCTGGCTCCACCGGATCCCACAGTTACAATGTTGCTGTGCCTGGGCGGGCTCCGGCGGATGCCTCCGCTCCCTGGCTCCCTCCCTCCCCGGCACCTGCGGCTCCTGCCCCCACCCTCCGCCTCCCTGAGGGTGTTTCATGTTTCCACCACAGTTACAGTGGATGAGATCCTTTTGTTTCACTTTTGTTTTTGGCAACAAGCATCCCCTGAGCATCAACCATGTGCCAGGCTCTTTGCCGGCTCTGGACCCCATCCTTCTCCCCAGGAGTGCCTGGATGGGAGGGCAGGTGACCATGGCCACAACAGAATCTTGAAATCTGTTGTTCCCAGAGCTGAAAGGAAGCCCAGGGGATTTCTCGGAAACGCAGGAAGGGCAGTGGGAATGGGGTGGCTGGGTTGGCTATCACAATAGTAGGGGTTTGCTGCTGGGGTGCAGGGGGTGCATTCCAGGCGTGACCCACTATTTGAGGAGAACAGTGCTTCTCCCAGTTTGGTGCTGATGCCATCCTGAGGAGGGACCACGAATGCCATTCATGGGGTGTGGCAGTAATAAAGTATTTTGGGTTTTCTTTTGTTTTTAGTAGATGTATGACAGATTTGGTTCTGCACACCATAAGAGTAGGTAGGGGCGGGAAATGAAGCTGGAACATCTGGGGGGTGGCTGTGATGGTTTAGGGGAGAGACGATAAGGTCTGAGGGACTAGTACAGGCGGAGGTGTGCTCAGAGATGTTTAGGACCCAGAGTCTGGTTCAGGTCGGTGTTTGTTGTTTCCTAAGAGGCATCTGCAGGGTCGTCTTTGTCTGGTGTCATTGCTGTCGTGGATGCAGGGTGTGGGGAGGAGGCAGCGAAAGTATTTAGTAGACAGAGGGTTGAGCCTGGCTGAGTCTCCGGGGGCCAATTACTCAGCCTCTCTAAGCCTCACTTTCTCGCTTGTAAAATGGGGTTGCGCAGTGTCTCCACTTCACCACCAGGTGTCACTGCAGGGCCTCCCGGTGACTACAGTCCTGTCCCCGGATCTCGGCAGAGAGCCGCCTGCCGGGGTCATTCTGAGGCCACCCAACTATGGCCCTGATGAGTGAGATGGCCCATAAAATTCTAGTGCTTCCTTAACGATGGGGAGAATGGAAATGTTGGAGATGTAATAACAATCTTATCGATAGCCGCTGATGCTGACAGCCAGCTTGTGGTTCAGGGCATCACGCCATCTTCATGACTAGAGTTTAAGGCTTGAAGGACTTACCTTCACTGCTGTCACCACCACCACATGCCAGGTGAGAAACTGAGGCTCTGAGAGGTGAAGCTGTCCCACGTCATAGGGCCTCCCAAGGGGTGGGGCTTAGGTTTGACTCAGGCCTGTCTCTGTCTTCTAATCTAGACCTATCTTGAGGGGCCTTTCAGGGTGAAGCTAGCCAAAATGTGGTGAGAAGAGCTGGGGCAGGAACCCTGGGGTCATCGCCCCGCCGTGCCTCTCAACAGCTCTGTGAGCTCTGTGAGCTTGGGCCTGAATGGCACTGTGCACCCAGGAAAAGCTTGTCCTGTCTGCTGTGCTGGGGTCTCCAGTGGCCTGAGGTGACAGAGGGCACACTGTGGTGTCTGACCCCAGCTCTGCCCCTGCAGATCTGGAGAATCGAAGGCTCCAACAAGGTACCAGTGGACCCTGCCACATATGGGCAGTTCTATGGAGGTGACAGCTACATCATTCTGTACAGCTATCGCCATGGTGGCCGCCAGGGACAGATCATCTACAACTGGTGAGGGACCTGGGCTGTCTGCTCGGTGTTAGCGGGAGTGTGTGGGGACCTGACTGTGCCTGAATATGGTGAAAAGAGGGAGTTGATCTGAGGGAATCTGGATTATAGAGGCCTAAATTCGGACGACCACACCCTGCTGGGACCCATTCTTACCCAGAGTCACAACTCTAAGCTTCCTGCCATCAGAATATGACATTCCATCTTAGGGATAGAGACACACCAACCCAGCAGCTCCTGCCAATCCCTGCCGAGGCTTCCATTGTAATAATTACAGATTATTCTCTAGTACATAAATATGTAATATTATTATATATGTCAGTTATAATAATTATTTAAATACTTGTCTTAAAGCACAGCATAGACTCACATTGCGCCAACCCAAAGCAGAATCCAAAGGTGTCATTCTGAACTTTTCATCCCCCTGTACTGCTGTTGACTCATCCACCAAGCCCTGCCCTTTCCTCTTGACCAGTTGACAATTTTTATTTATCCTTTTTGCATAATTACTGGAAGGATATGTAATGTAAACAAATGCTAAGTGCATTGACCTGTGGCTTGCCTTTTGGATACGGCCTTCCTGGAAACTGACACTTCCTGATGTAGGTGGCATGTCTTACAACTGTCCCACTCCTTTGGGTTGCCATACCGCCATTTATCAACAGACTCCCCACACCCATGCGTACTCAGGTGCTGTCTACTGCTCTCTCGGCATCACCAAGATTAATAACTGTTAGCAAACAGTCAGATGTTTAGAGATGTCTCTCCGGTGAGTTCCCAGAAATGGATTGGCAGAATCAGGCAATGACCCTGTCATTTTGATGGATAGCTCCAGTTTCTCTAGCTAGTGCTTGGAGCTTCTCAAATTCCTGTATTCCTGCCAGCTACACACAAGAGCTCCACCTCAGTGGACTGTGTTGCTAAACTCATGGATGTTGGTCAAGCTAATAATTTATAAAGTGATATCTTATTAGAATTTAAATTTGCATTTGGGGTCAGGAGTGTGGCTCAATGGCAGAGCACTTCGGGGATGCAGGTAGCTCTGGGTCACTCCCGTAGCACTGAAAAACAGACATTAGGAAAATGGTGGTGGCACACACTTTTAATCCCAGCATTTGGGAGGCAGAGGCAGGAGTTCCAGGAGAGCCAAGCTGCACAGTGAAACCCTGTCTCAACCCCTGCCACACACACAAAAAAAGAAAGAAAGAAAGAAAGAAAGATCCCCCCCCCCCGCAAAAAGGAAGAAAGAAAGAAAAAATGGTGTTCCTATTACTAGACAGTTTCAGACTTTTATCTAATAGTTGTTGAATTTCTTCTTTGTTAACGTTTTCATTTTGAAATAATCTCAGACCCACTGAAAAGTTGCAAAAATAAAAATCCAATTATCTGGCCAGTTCCTACCGCTTCACGTCGCAGCCCTGGCAGCTGTGGGTCAGGCAGATGCAAGGCTGTGCACTTGTTTGTGTCTGCTCCAGCACACCAACTCTCCATTCCTGTGTCTTTTCTGGCCCCACAGGACATCTCTGGGGCCCAGGGCCCCACAAGGCATTTCTTCCTGTGTCCCCTCAGTCCTTTGGGATCTGTGACACAGCCTGCCCTTTTCCTTCATGACCATAGAGTCCTGAAGAGTGATGCTCAGGAATCATGTACTCAGACTCAGTTTGACAACCCCATACTTTTAAAGAAGCTACATTTATAAACTAGATAATACACATATTGTTGGGGGGCTATGGGGGGTGATGGAGATTGATCCCAGATCCTTATACATTCTAGGCAAGCCACTACCCCTGGTCTATAAACTCAGCACCCTTTTTGCCTTTTATTTTGAGACAGTCTCACTAATTTGTCCATGCTGGCCTTGAACTTGCAATCTTCCTGCCTCAACCTCCCAAGTAGCTGAGACTCCAGGCCTGCACCACTAAGCTCAACATATTGTTTTTTCAAGACAGGGTTTCTCTGTGTAGCCCTGGCTGCCCTGGAACTCACTCTGTAGACCAGGCTAGCCTCAAACTCACAGAGATCTGTCTGCCTCTGTCTCCCAAGTGCTGGGACTAAAGGCATGGGCCGCTGTGCCTGGCTGATACAAAAGAAGGCTTTTTGATTTATGGTGTCTGCCAGGTACAGTCATACAAGGCCCAGCCTGGGCAAGGAGCAGAGGCAGGGGACCTTGCGTCTCCCTAACGTCCCCTCTCAGGGCAGTTTCCATACATCTTTCAGTGCACATCTGGCAGTCTTTTACATGTGCCCATGAGGCTGTGTCTGGTGTCTTTCCCTCCAGATGGCATGTATCACCTGCTGTTTCTGACCCCTTTTATACAAAGAGATGCCCTGACTGCTTTTGTACATTTTGCGTTTGTGTCTCAGTACCCTCTCCTGGCTGTCCATCAGAGGATGACCAGGGAGTTCCCTGCAGGCACATTTAGGACAGGGAAATCCACCTGTTGTACTAGGTCCTAAGTAAGAAAACCGTCTGCTGAGCTGGGGTGGGCAGGATGTGAGGCTCTAGTCTCTGGTTCTCCACAGTCCCTGCACGTCTCCATCCCAGTTCCATCCCCTTGACAAGGAGGCTCATGGGTTACTGGAGCTCAGGGCAAGGAAGAGGCCCAGGGCTCTGTGTAAACTAGTCTTGAGTCTCTCTCCCTCTTCTAGGCAGGGTGCCCAGTCTACCCAGGATGAGGTCGCTGCGTCCGCCATCCTGACTGCCCAGCTGGATGAGGAGCTGGGAGGAACGCCTGTCCAGGTGAGCCAGAACAGTGCCTCTTAGGGCTTCAGCCAGGCCTTCACCTGTCAGCTCACTTACCTTCCTAATTATTCATACACTCATCCAGGCATCTGCCTACTCACCATCCATCCATCTGTCTGTCTACACACCTACCCATGCTACAAACATTTATGCAGGGTTTTCTATGTACTGGGCTTAGTGTCTGCATCCAGTTATATAGACCCTGTCTTTCCTGGGCAGCGTCTCCATGCCCTCCCTTGGCTGTGCAGCAGGGATGACACAGTTGGTTCCTGCAGGGCACATTCAGGACAAGGAGATCATGTGCTGTGTTCAGGTCTAAGTAAGAAGACAGGCTAGGGACAGGGGAGAGTTGGGAGGTTGGGGCTGTGTGGGTGCTGCCTCCGCATCTGGAAGGCCCTTCGCACCCTCCACCGACTCACTTGTCTGGGACTGACGTCAGCATTCTGGAAGAACGTACTCAGGCAATCTGTCCTTCCTTTTAAGGTCATATTTGCGAACTTGGGCTCCCCTCGTTCTTGGGCCAGACTCAGAGGCAGAGAGTAGGGAAACAGCCGAGATGGCAACCGCGGACCTTGGTGGTGACACCGTCTCCAGTTTGCTCCACTCAGTGCTCTGGTGCCACCAACAGATGTGGTGTAGTCAGATGTGGTAGCCTTTCTGGAGGGAATGGCCCAGGACCACGTAGAAAAGCTGATTTTGGGGGGTTGGAGAGATGGCTCAGCAGTTAAGAGCACTAACTGCTCTCCCAGAGGCCTAGGATCAATTCCCAGCATCCAGAAGGCAGCTCACAACTGTCTGTAACTCCAGTTCCAGGGGATCCAACACTCTCACACAGATATACATGCGGACAAAACACTGATGCATATAAAATTTAAAAACATTATAAAAAAGGAAAAAAAGCAAAGCTGATTCTCTCCTCTCTCACTGCCAGAGCCGAGTGGTCCAAGGCAAGGAGCCTGCACACCTCATGAGCTTGTTTGGTGGGAAGCCTATGATAATCTACAAGGGTGGCACCTCCCGAGATGGTGGGCAGACAACCCCTGCCAGTACCCGCCTCTTCCAAGTCCGAGCCAGCAGCTCTGGAGCCACCAGGGCTGTGGAGGTAATGCCAGGTCCCAGAATGTGGGCAGGATTGCCCTCCTGAAGTCTTCTAGGCCCACTGAATAGACCTCCAGAGGCCCAGGGCTGAGTGGGCCTGGGTGGGATGAGGAAGCAGATTTTCAGGGCGTCCTGCCCTGGCAGCCCCTTGCCCCATCAGGATTCCTTACATACTTTCCATCATAGGCAGCTCACTACCTTCTCTAGAACTCATTCTGTGCAGCCCGGACTGCGTTTCTGATTCCGCAATAGTAGGCCACTATGGTCTCAGCACTGGAGAATTACTCTGTCAACTCCTTTGTTTTGAGCATTCAGCTTTTGTTAATGCAGCCCCAAATTCCAGGTCATTCTCACTCCTCAGAGTGCGTCTGAGAAATGTGGGGTTAGCCTGCCCTCTCAGTGTCCCAAGTCTGTGCTCTCCGTCTCTGGAGGAAAGATGTCGTCTGCTGCAGGGTCCCTGGGCCGTCATGAGGGGCTAGGCTGTGTTTCCTTGTTCCTGACTGAGTGCTGCCTGCCCCACCCGCCTCCAGGTGATGCCGAAGGCTGGTGCTCTGAACTCCAACGATGCCTTTGTGCTGAAAACCCCCTCAGCTGCCTACCTGTGGGTGGGTGCAGGAGCCAGTGAGGCCGAGAAGACCGGGGCCCAGGAGCTGCTGAGGGTGCTGAGAGCCCAGCCCGTGCAGGTGGAGGAAGGCAGCGAGCCAGGTGGGAGCCGGGGCCCATCCCTTCCCTCCACACCCTTCTCTGGTGCCATCACCTCATGCGTGTCAAATGGGAGGGTAAAATGAGCATGACGGCCAACGACAGGGTAGTCTCCAGACACCAAAGGAAGGAGAACTTGTTGTGAGGGCCTCGGGAGATGATGGCGGAGGTGACATGTCAGAGAGGTTCTCCTTGCCTTTAGAGCTACACGGAGGAAGGCATCGGCCCTCACCGTCTTTTCTGTTGATGCTCAGAACCCCTCCCCCTTTCCTTGGTATTTCATGGAAGCAGTGAAGGGTCGCTTGGTCTCTGCCTCTCTGCCCAGCAGAAAACGCCATTAGGATAAATGTTCTGTGTCTCCCAGCCCCAGTTTGGTGGCTGGTGGTCACTGTGGCTTTTGAGTGCTTGAAATGTGGGAAAGAATGGACATGAGGAAGTGTGACCTTTGTAAATGGCAAGCGAGAGGCCTTATTTGAGCCAAGGTGCCCACGGCTGGTGAGAAGGAGACTCGCCATGCAGATGTGGCGGTCCATGCAGATGTGGCGGTCCGCAGCATGGCGCGATGGAAAGTTACACTATGCAGACACACATCCACGTGGAAAGTTTTATTATTAAAGGGGGAGGGGAGATGGGATAGAGAGAAGGAGAGAGAGAAAGATGGGGGAAGAGAGAACGCGGAGGTGTGCATCACCTCATGGAGAGAAAGGGAGAAGGAAGAAGAAGAAGCGAGAGGTTTTTCTCTTAAAGGGGACTTTACATAAGATGACATCAGGATGCTGGGCGGGTCCCCAAGGAGTGGTTCAGAATGCTAACAGTAACTGTTTAATTGTGATACATTTCCATAGAAATGGCCACATACAGACAGAAAACACATAGCCAGAGCAGGTATTGTCGAAAGAATATGGAAATTGGACTTAGAAAAGATTTGCCTCCTGGCTTTACCACTCCCAGGCTGTGTGAATTAGGTGAATCACTGTCCCTGGGCCTCTGTGTGCTGAGTGGAGATAATTAGCCCCGTCCTGTGGTGCCGTTGCCTCTGCCATGGGTCTTATGCCAATTTACCCTCTCCGGGCCTCTCCGTTCCCTTCTGTCTTGAGCCCCTGGGATCTTAAAGTGGAGAGCAGCCAGGTGGATCTGGGGTCTGGTGAGATGTGCTCATGGGGCCATGGTTTCCCTTGGTGACTGATGCGATCTCCCCTCATAGGTGGCTTCTGGGAGGCTCTGGGTGGGAAGACTGTCTACCGCACATCCCCAAGGCTGAAGGACAAAAAGATGGATGCCCATCCTCCTCGCCTGTTTGCCTGCTCCAACAGGATCGGGCGCTTTGTGGTGAGTCTGGGGTGACACCTCTGCTTGTGGCAGGTTTAGGGGGGTCACTGGACCTCAGAGCCTGGAGACACAGTCTGATGGCCCAGTGCAGGGGAAGGGCCCCTGAAGGCAGGACAAGCCCGTGCACTCATCCTGGGAACCAATGGGGGATGATGCTTCTTCCTTGACCTCCTCTGACCTCCCCAGATCGAAGAGGTTCCCGGAGAGCTTATGCAGGAAGACCTGGCTACTGATGACGTCATGCTCCTGGACACCTGGGACCAGGTAAGTAAAGGAGAGAAGGAGAAGGCTGAGGTAGAGGGGGAAGCTAGACTCTTAGCTCCAAGATGAGCCACAAGGAGGGCATGAAACACCAGGTGTTTTCAGGGAGGTCCTGAATGGCTGTAAGCCACGTCCCCTCTCTCTGAGCGTCCTTTTCCTCAGATGTAAAATGGAAGTGATGTTAGCTGACTGGCAAGTGCATGGCCATTGGAAGCTGTAAAGCACTCTAGAAACCCAGGTCACATGACCCTGCACCATGCCCTTCTCCCCTTAGCCTCAGGGGAGTGTGAATTCTGGCTTTAAATCTGTATGAAGAAAGTTGAACTTAGCAACGTGTCATGTGCAGGTTAAGTTGCCCAGTGTCCTTTGGAGCTTGGAAATGTCACTCCCCAGCTCTGGGGTCTCTCGTGTCATCTGCTAGGGTGGTTTGCTGTAGAGGAACCAGCATGGATGACATTCATCCAGCATCAACTGAGCATCTAAACAGTGCTCTCTAGGGGATGCTGGGAATGAAGGATGCATCAAGTTGACCTCCTCTGCTCCCCCTGGGTCTGCTCTCATGGGAGCGTCAACTCAGTAACCCCTTCTATCAAGTGCCTGCCAGGCTGTAGAATGGCTAGACACAAAGGCCCAAGTCTGTCTTTCTCCCACGGGTGACTTTGGGGCAGCCTGGCGTTTTCTTGTCTAAGGCATTGACAACATTGACTGTCATTAGTAAATGGCAATTGCTCTTGAATGTGATTATCTTGAGAGATGCATAAAAATAGATGTCAGAGCTGGGGAGACAGCCCAGTGGATAAAGCACTTGCCACACAAGCATGAGGACCCGAGTAGAGGTCCCCAGAACTCAAGGAAAAGCTCAACGTGATAAGGTGTGTCCTCAATCCCATGCTCCCAAACAAGAGGAGAATGGGGGAACCAGACAGACTCCCCAGAAGCTCATAGTCCAGCTAGTCAGGATACAGCACTATGAACAGGAAGATCCTACTTCAAACAAAGTGTAAAGTGAGGACCCATACCCAAGGTTGTTCTCCGACCTCAACATGTGCATTGTGGCACAAGTAGGCACACATACCTACACACAAAGATTTAAAAAAAAATAGATGATGTGTAAAAATCAGCAGAGTAGGTTTTTATGTGTGACCTAACTTGTCATAAGGATCACAGTGACATGAGTTTTTTATTACAAGCTTTAGACATGTGTCAGTCAAGATGCAGAGATTGGTAGCCTTTCAGCATGCCTTTGTTGGATGAATGACTAAAAACATCTGTCCACCCATTTGTTGAGTGAATCCACACCTTTAAAGGTGTGACTCATGAACTCTTAAAGAGGGTTTTCCAACTCTGCCCCCATATTGCAATGAAAATGAGTGAAGTAGGCTGGGATGAGGAGATGTGAGGAAAGGTGTAGCCTGAGGCAAACTGGACCTGTCACCAGAGGTGCCCACCTCTCAGCTTCATCCCAGTGAAGGTGATGGCCCAGCTTCCAGATCTTCCTGTGTTGTTTTATCTTCGGTACAGTGGCTGCACCTTGATCTACTCCTGTTTCAGCCGGTAATTGTGACTGCACAGTTATTGGCCTGCTTCTCTGGCAGTGGCTGGCTGCTCAGGCTGCACTGACTCTGTCGCTGCCACTAAAGGTAGCTTTAACTAAATCTCCATTGTTCTATTTATAGATAAGACGAGATTCAAAGGCTGGGGTGAAAACCTGCTAGCTCAGAGAGGCTGACTAGCAACCAGCTGACCTTCTCTCCTCCCTGGCATCTCCAAAAAGCCCATCCTTTCTCTCCACCAAAACAGAAAAAGCCACGCCACTCCAAATCTCTCCCTACTCCTTCTAACACATCTCTCTCTCTCCCATTCGCCCTCTGAGGCTCTATGATTACTTTTTGTCAACTAGTTGCTCAATCAGCCTCCTGACCCAAGGTTAATTTTATTTAATTAATACAAATGCTAACAGGGAGTTCACAGAGTGATCAAATACCCCCAACACTCCTGCACTTCAGGAGAAGTTGGAAACCCAGACTCTTATGCCATCATTGACGACTGGATTCCAAGACAGTGCTGTCACAGGCCAACACGTTAATGGCAAGCACGTGTGTAGGTCACTGCCTTGCAGCCTCTGTCCCATGCCTTTCCAGTCGCTGTCTAAAGGCTGTTGGTTATGGGGGGCTGTGTCTGTTTCTGATACCCAGGACCCACCTCCACCCCTGTTCTTTATCCAGCGGTGACTGTCACCAGCACCTCTCATGTGATTTTCATTCCACATCTCACCTACAGGTCTTTGTCTGGGTTGGAAAGGACTCACAGGAAGAGGAAAAGACAGAAGCCTTGACTTCTGGTGAGGACCCTAGGCTCTAGGGTGTGGGTGGGGACTTTGACTGTGGATAGGGTCTTTGGCTGTGGGTGTGGGTGGGGTCTTTGGCTGTGGGTGGAATCTTTGATTGTGGATAGAGTCTTTGGCTGTGGGTGGAGTCTTTGATTGTGGATAGAGTCTTTGGCTGTGGGTGGGAATGGTGGGTGTGGGTGAGCTCTTTGGTTGTGGGTGGGAGTGGTGGGTGTGGGTGGGGTCTTTGGCTGTGGGTTAGGGGTGGGTGTTTGGCTGTAGGTAGGTAGGAGCAGCTTCTGATGCTGTTCTAGGAGTTAGCTTCCATGGGGATGGAGACTTTCTGCTCATAGTCTGACCTTCTGGAACCCTGCTTGGGGTGATGTCCCAGTGGCTTTTTGTGACTACCTGAGGCAATCAATTCATATTTTGGACGTTTCCCATTTCAATCATATTCATATTTTGGAAGTTTCAGCCCAGGTCAACTGACTCTGGTGATTTTGAGCCTGTGGTGAGGCACTGAGGTGGAGAGTGTGTACAGAGTAATGCCATGGAGACTTGGGAAGGGAGAGGAAAGGGTGGGGTCTCTTCAAGGGCAATGCCTGAGCAGCAGAAAACACCACTTCTTAGAGTTCTCACTGCCCCCCCCCCCCCCCCCCCCGGGCTGAGGACCACAGCTTTGAGGGACATTCTAGATAAAAGCTACTGCAAGTGTGAAGAGATAAATGTGTCCCTTCAGAATGCCTGAGGGAAGGAAGGAACAGAGGCGAGCCCATGTCCAATTCCCAGCATGCCCTAGAGATTTCCTTGTTAGGGTCCCTGTGTGGGAACCTATCTTGGTAGCTAATCTAGAGACTGAACTCTAGGACTGGTTTCTTTATTTAATATCTTAATCACCAGGGGGAAATGATACATTCAGAGAAGGGCTGAGAACTCTGTGAAGCAGGAATTTAAGTGAAAGTTCCTGTTCTTCCTGTGTTGGGGGCAATCCGAGGTGGTGGTGGTCAGAATATGAGACCATATTCTCTGGCAACCCCTACTCTCTCTCTGAGGAGGAGACACTAAGAGTCCCTGGGTTTCTTCTCCGTGTGTGTCTGCAGCTAAGCGGTATATCGAGACGGACCCAGCTAATCGGGACAGGCGGACCCCCATCACTGTCGTGAGGCAGGGCTTTGAGCCTCCATCCTTTGTGGGCTGGTTCCTCGGCTGGGATGACAACTACTGGTCGGTGGATCCATTGGACAGGGCCCTGGCTGAGCTGTCTGCCTGAGTCAGGACCAGAGCCACCAATGTCACCAGTCAGTGCCTTTGAGAATTGTCCGTCTCCCAAAGAGATCCTGCGGCCAGCCCGATAACTGTGTGTGTGTGTGTGTGTGTGTGTGTGTGTGTGTGTGTGTGTGTGTGTGTGTTTGTTTTTTTACAGTAGCCAAAACCAGCCCTGGGAAAATTCAGGGTCTTTTCAAAATTGCCTCAAGTATCCGTGCTTTGGGAATTAAGTTCAATAAAAGCTTTTTGAAGTGTGTTCTCTCCAGGTGTGTCACTGTGTGCCTCAGTCCATGACCCTACCCACGAAATAGTCCTAGTCTCTGAACCTGCTCCTAACCCTGGTGATTCTGAGGTGCTGAGGTAGGTGCCCGCCCTGGGCTGTGAGGCAGCAGATCAGCTCCACCCACCTTGAGAAGCTGATCACACACACTACTGGGGCATGTCCTAGTCTGTAGTGATAAAAACAGTGACCAAAAGTGACGTGGGGAGGACATTTCATCTTCTGGCTTATCGCCTGTCATGAAAGGAAGTCGAGGCAGGAACTGAAGAAGAGGACATGGAGGAGTGCTGCTTATCGGCTTCCTCCCCAAGGCTTGCTTATACAACCCAAGCACCACCTCTAGTGGGCTGGGCCCTCCCCATCAATCATTAGTCAAGAAAATGTCTCCACAGACTTCCCTACAGGCCACCTTATTGGGATTATATCGCTAGCAATCTGTGGAGTCTGCCTAATGATCAAAGGAATTTATTTGGGGGTTAACTCACAAGACAGAATAAAGGCATTTGTCTCAGGGTCCTGGAAGGGTGAAGCATGGTCCAACGCTGTTCTCTGGTGTGATCTGCCCTGGTCTGTCCCAGCCTCCAAAACCATGAGGTATTGAAGAGAGACCTCGTACAGGTCTTAAGGGTCCCAAGGGGCATGTACTTCAAGGTCCTAGGCAGGTGTAACCTGCTACCTCACTAGGGGTGGTGCTCCAGGGCATGGTGAGAACAGCCACCCACTACACCACCTACTAGAGGCAATTGCTCGGCTGAGGTTCCCTTTCCCCAGAGGAACCTGCCTGTGTCTAGCAGACAAAAACTAACGGGCACGGGAAGCAGTCAACCTGGCTGACCGGGAGAGGGCAGGAAGGAAAGGCAGAGTGGGAGTGTCTGTTCTCCGCTTAGTCCTGCCGTGTCTGCAAAGCTTTTAGGTAGGCTTGGGCCAGAGAGGAAGGGTTTTATTTTGTTTAATTTGATGATATGGTCTGTGTTTGTTTCTTTTTTCAGGATTGAACCCCAGATTCTGTGCAAGTTAGACAAATGCTCTACCACCAAGCTACACTCTCAAACTGCTCTCTCTGCTCTCTCTCTCTCTGCTCTCTCTCTCTCTGTCTCTCTGTCTGTCTGTCTCTCTCTCTCTGTCTCTCTATGTGTCTCTCTCTGTCTCTCTGTCTCTCTCTGTGTGTCTCTGTCTCTCTGTCTGTCTGTCTGTCTCTCTCTCTGTCTCTATCTCTCTGTCTCTCTGTCTGTCTCTCTCTGTGTCTCTGTCTCTCTGTGTCTCTGTCTGTCTGTCTCTCTCTCTGTCTCTCTGTCTGTCTGTCTGTCTCTCTGTATCTCTGTCTCTCTCTCTGTGTCTCTGTCTCTGTCTGTCTGTCTGTCTCTCTCTCTCTCTGTGTGTGTATCTGTCTGTCTGTCTCCCTCTCTCTTTCTCTGTCTGTGTGTCTGTCTCCCTTTCTCTTTCTGTCTGTGTGTCTGTCTGTCTCTGTGTGTGTGTCTCTGTCTCTCTTTGTCTGTATCTGTCTGTCTCTGTGTGTGTCTCTGTGTGTGTGTCTGTCTCTGTGTGTCTCTGTCTCTCTCTGTCTCTCTCTCTGTGTGTCTCTGTCTCTGTGTGTGTGTCCCTCTCTGTCTGTCTGTCTCTGTGTGTGTGTGTGTCTCTCTCTCTGTGTGTGTCTCTTTCTGTCTCTCTCTCTGTGTCTCTGTCTCTGTCTCTGTGTGTGTGTGTGTGTAGGTCGGAGGACAGCTTTGAGGAGTCCCTTCTCTCCCGTACCGTGTGGGTTCTTGGGATGGAACTCAGGTCACCAGGCTTGAGATGCAGGCGCCTTTACCATCCGAGCAGCCTCACCTCCCCGTTCCTGGACCCTCTTCTATTTTATTTTGAGAAAGGGTCTCACTAAGTTGTCCAGGTTTTATTCGAATTGCAGATCTCCTCCTCAGCCGCCCCCAAGCTGAGGATCTAGGCATTTGCCGCCGCGCCCAGTTGTTGTTTGTGTAGCAAGCTGAGTATGACAGAGTATTTCATTTTAACCAGTGCTAGGCATACAATTAGTGATATTACATAGATATGTAATGTGACATAAGCTATAACCACTACCGGTACCCAAACTTATAAAAACATTTTAAAAAAGATTTTTAATTTTACGCATATGAGTGTTTTGCCTGTAGGTATATGTGTGCACCATGTGTGTGCAGTGCCCAAGCAGGTGAGAAAAAGGAATACTAACTTCTGGAACTGGAGTTACAGTTGTGAGCTGCCATGTGGGTGCTGGGAATCGAACCTGGGTCCTCTGGAAGAGCAGCCAGTGCTCTCAACCGCTGAACCATCTCTCCAGCCCGATCCAAACATTTTATAGCCCCCAATCTAAGTGCTTAATAATAATAATAATAATAATAATAATAATAATAATAATAATAATAATAAATGTTTTTTTCAAGACAGAGTTTCTCTGGGTAGCCATGGCTGTCTTGGGACTCACTCTGTAGACCAGGCTGGCCTTGAACTCACAGAGATCCACCTGCCTCTCGAGTGATGGGACTAAAGGTGTGGGATACTAGCCCTTGCTTTTAAGTGTTTATTATTAAATAAGCTCCCCATCCCTCCATCACCCTAGGATCTTTATTCTTCCTTTGCCCTTGATAAATTTGCCTATTCTGCCTACCTCCCCTAAAAAGAGTCATGCAATATTTATTGTCTGTGTCTGGCATATTTGACTTAGAATTGCTTCCAAAAGCAACCCTTGATCTACATTGATGGGTAAATACTATTCCATTGTATGTACATATCTCATCTTATTTATCCATTCATCCACCATGGATGGTCGGATTATTTCCACCTTTTGACTACTGTGTACAATGCTGTTGTGAATGCAGGGCAAAAATATGTATTCTTTGAGTGTTCTGAGCCAGCTCTCAAATGAGTTCTATATCTCCTTATGAACATGAGTCTTACCTCCCCTATTCTGTGCACTGTCATTAGGAGGCTTGGCCTTGATGGAGTTCAAAGCCAACTACACTCCCTGGAGTAGGAAGTAGACAAGGTGTGTTGCCATAGAGACACCTCCTGTGGTGTCTGCCTGTACCCACTTTCTACAGCTGGTCCCTTCTGTTCATTCTATTACTCAAAAGACTCTTTGGTGAGATCTCTACCTTGGCAACTGCCGTACCTAGAGAGGCTCCTGGATCTGCCTTTGGAACACAGGAGAGGTACTCCTTGGTGTCCAAATATGGTCCCTCTAGGCCTGAATCTTTGCTGGTATTCAGAGCATCAAAACTCCCCCTTGGGTACTCCCATGAACTGCTTCAAATGCTTTTCTCCCTGGAGGTCAAGGACAGAGCCTGTCCCTCCCCTTTCCTTCTGGATTCTTCTGGCCACCTTTCCTCCTCTTGGTCCATGCCACTCCATGTTATAGGATGAAGCTTCTGTATGTGGACTATAGAACAGAGCCCAGGGTGAGGTTTGGATAGTAGAAGCCTGAGAGTTGTGTGTGTTTACATTGTTGTGTCCAGGGAGCGTTTTAGAAGCATGGTTCCCTTGGGGCCCTATCTCCAGAGATTCTGAGTCATTGCTGGAGTGGAGAGGAGATGGGTTGTGGGTGGAAGCAGATCATTACAAGCAGAGGTGTAGCAGAAACAAAGGTGGGGTGCTGTGGGGAAAGTGGTTCACTCGGGGCAGATGTGGCCGAGCAGCTTGGGAGTGAGCAGTGGGCAGGAGCATTGAACACTGTGCCAAGGGGCTAGGACTTCATTCTATGCCTGCCTTGCCTATTTCCAAAGGTTGCCTCTTTGCAGTCAGAGCAATTGACCTGGCAAGTAAAACACCCTAAAAATGCTTAGCAGAACAAGAGACTGTTCCGAGGGCCATAAGCAGTTTTCTCCCAGAGATAAAACAGTCCATCTTGGAGGGAACCACGAAGCTCCAGCCATTAAGCGCCAGAAGTAAACAACACAAAAGCTTCAGGAAGTCCCTGAAGCTGACCAGATCCATTAGGGCTCTCCCTCCCCTAGTTTACATAAGCTAAGGACTGCTGGGAGACATGCTCAGAGAAGCCGGATTGCCCCAGAGATGCTCAATATTCCAAGCCTGGAAGAGACAACTCTCCCATCTGCTGAGCCATCAGCTCTGTGAGCTCCAGGTCCCCAGCTTTCTTCACTGTCACCCGTGCTGGGGTAGCTTTGGTGATGCAGCTGTCTCTGAGTCATTTCTGCTCCTGTAAGTGGCCCCAATAGACCCATTAGTGGTCTCCTGCAGAGTCGGCTCACTATCTGGGAGAGTGGATACTTGTTCACACCTCCTTGGGGTCAGTGTTACACAGTAGGGCTTTCCCTACAGGGAGGTAGAGGATGCTCTAGACAAAGCCAGCTTACTTCCTGGAAATCCATGGGTCTGACTTAACCCAATGTAGGATTCCTGCTAAGTGGTGGAAAATTACATGTACAGATCCTAGAGCATTGTGGGAGTAAGCCTGCCCGGTGCTTGGTTAAATTGGATGTGTTGGACTGTATGTGATGGAGAACCAGCCCAAACCAAATTCCCCCAGGAGAGTCCAGTCTAGGGGCTTCGGTATCTGACTCAAGCCACTTTGGGTCCAGGTTTCCCACCAGCTCTGTTGGCTCTGAGTATCAGTGTGGTAGTGAAATGTCTGCAGGCATTTTGGCTCTCAACTATGCGTCAGCAAGCTGAGGGAGAGACAAATTTGTTGTTTGTAAATGTTTTCCTTGGAGAGAGAGGATGAAATGCTTCCAAGTCCACAGCAAGCCTTTCTTCAGTTCTCAGGAATCCTCATGCCCATTCCTAGTGAGCTCATAGGGCAGTGAGGTCCAGCTGGTTGCTGGGTGAATTTCTCCTCTCCTGAGTGAACATTCTTGGTGAGATCCTGGGGGAACAAGGCAGGGCTTCTGAGACAGGAAGGAGGCAAGGGGACACAGTAGATGGCTATTTTGTTGACATTTTTAGGGTCAGATGCTAAAATAAAACCTTAACAGTAGACGTCTACAGCATTGCAGT